CTATCTGTTAATAGACTTACCTTCAAGCTGCTTGCTTCATCCTTGAAAATATGCAATAGGAAATGTCATACTGAATTAGACTAACAGTCAGGTTTAGTTCTTTGTCGCTTACAGTAATTGCCACCAAAATATGTTTTGTAAGCGAGTATGGCTGCTATCTTTGGCTTCTTTAAATCCAGTAGGTGATTTCCACTGATGTTCCTTTATCAATTAATCCCCTTCCCATCCCTATCATCCAAGCTTAAATTATGTGATAGTTCCATAAATTCACAATCACCATTATACTTTTATTTTTCTTAAAACCATCTCTATCTGCGTCAAGAAGTGACCTAACTCTGGATTTGGTGACTAAGTCCACCCAACACATGACCTTCATGATTGATTCCCAATTTTTCCAGACTGAGATCCTAAGTTTTAAAAATGTGCCTTTCTTGGGGGACGTGGCTCAGTTGGTTAAGAGCATGAGCTCTGAGCAACGGGGTCGCCGGTTCGATTCCCACATGGGCCAGTGAGCTGCGCCCGAGCTAGCTGCCACTGGGCTGCCAACAGGCGGCAGGATGGCTCAGCTGGTGAGAGCACGTGCTCCTAACAAGGTTGCCAGTTGGGCAACTAAGATTGAACACGGCACCTTGAGCTGAGTGGCCGCAAGCTGCTGACGGGCAGCCGGATGGTGACTGGACTTGGAGCTGAGCTAGCTGCGCCCTCCACAACTAAGACTGAAGGACAACAACTTGGCTGTTCCTCTTCCCCAATTCCCCAAAAAAACTTTAAAAAAAATGTGCCTTTCTTAAAAAGTAAACAAAGACATGGTATAAACACTCAAACAGTTCAATAATAGCTCATAAAATATATGGGTTTATAGCCTCCTTCATTAAATATACCTGTGGCCCCATCTTCAAAAGTCCTGCTGAGCAAAATCACAGCTAGGCTTTGAATTACCAGGCAGGAGAGATCTCAACAAAGGGAAAAGACCTACCAATACTGATAGTCGAGATCTCTCATGTGAAGATCTCTCATGGAGATCTCTCAGCACAGGAATGAGTGAAACCCATCAGATAAGAGCTCATTCCATGCACACGGAGCTTCCAATTTGTTTTAAAATATAAACATACAGCAAAAGATTACCAGATATTTGACAAAAGCCTCTAATGTGAGACACCCAAAATACAAATAGAAGAAAGAAATGAGGCAATGAAGGAAGCAGAAGAAAACTTCAAAGAAACTAAAATTAATAATCAGAGGGAGAATAAAAGCTGCTGAATACATGAAACAAAAATAGGAGATAATAAAAAGGTAAAATCAGAGACAAATAAAAAAATGTATGATGGAATAAATAAACTGAAGAGAATGGATATAAGGTAAGAAAGTCCTCAACAAATTTATAAATTCTTTAAGAAAGGTACAATAAAAAGCAATGATGGCCATCGGTAGACGACTGGATTAAGAAACTGGGGTACATTTATACAATGGAGTATTACTCCGCTATAAAGAAGAATGAAATCGTACCATTTGCAATGATATGGATGGACCTAGAGACTGTTATGTTAAGTGAAACAACTCAGTCAGAGAAAGGCAAATACCATATGATTTCACTTATATGTGGAATCTAAAAAACTGAATGAACGAGGAAAGTAAACAGAAGTGGTCTCAGAGATATAGAGGAAGAACTGAGAGTTGCTAGTTGGGAGGGGATGGGGATGAGGGAGAAGGGGAAGGGATTAGACAGCATAAATAGATAACTACAATAGTGCCACAGGGACATGAAAGACAGTTCGGGGAATATCATTAATAATGTTGTAAATACTTTGTAGGGTGTCAGATGGTCACATGTCTTGCTAGGGAGAGTGCATCATGGATGGGGAAGAGGCTTGATCACTGCACTGTACACCTGAAGCTGATGTTGTATAATATTGTATGTCAACTATAAGTGAATATATATATATAGTCACGGGATGTGGAGTATAGTGTGGGATTTTGGAGTCAATGAAATTTAATAGATATGTATGATATTGGGGGGAAGTGGGGCGGCGGGTTGAGGGAGGGGGTTGTCACTTTGAGGGGTAAAAAGTATAACTAGTACACTGTGTTGTACAGCTGAAACTAATTAAAAAAAAAGACAACGAGATGAACACTAATAAAGAAGAAAAGGAAACTTACAGGATGAGTACAGACGATTCAGGATCTGAATGCAGGTATGCTCCCACTTCCTGAGTTTGCATTTTGTTACTTCCTTTTTACCAAAGACCTACATTAGTACCATGACGACTTTTGTCATAAAGCAAAAGTCCTCTTTGGATTTCTTTTGGTTAGTGAAAACAGGCACTAATATAGGTCTTTCCTAAAAGCCAAGTGATGGAATGTGAACGTTTGGAAAGCAGGGCGGGAAGAAAAATGGGAGAACCCTGTAATAGAAATTCCAGAAAAACTGGACAGAGAAGAAAATACAAGACGGAAGGCAGTTCTCAAAGAAATAATTCCTTTTTCCCCCCAGAACTGAATGCTGTAAGTTTTTAGATTGCAATGACTATTGAGTGCTTAGCAAAATCAATGAGTAAAAGATCTTTATCAAGTTATATTAATGTGAAGTTTTAGAACAGTAGGGACATAAAGAAGATTCTACTAAATTCCAGAGGTGGGGGGGGAAACCACATCAAGAATCAGACAACTGATTTCCTGAGAACAACATTAAAAGTTGGAAAACAGTGGGGCAACGCTTTCAAAGTTCTGAGGGAAAGGGTGTCATTCTAGATTTCTACCCCTGGACAAATTGTTGCCCAAACATGAGGTAGAATAAAGGAATTTTTTCAGCATACAAGATCTCAAACATTTATTTACCACATAGCCTTTCTCAGGAAATATGGAGGATTGTGCTCCACTTCAAAACATGAAAAGATAAGGAGGAAGACCTGGGAGATGGAGAGGGTAAAACAGCATCTTTGAGAGACGAAGAAGGGAGACAGACCCTAGAATGACAGTTCTGCATCAGGACTAGGGAACAACCATTTTAGATGGGACAGTAAAATAGAGAGATCCAGGAGGCATTTCTAAAATTATAATAAAAATTGACACATTACTGGATGTGTTAGAATGTATTAACAATATACGCTTAGTTCGGGAGATGAGTCTGGGGATGAATTAATGGTAGGTAAATGAGTAGTACACAAAAATTAAGTAAACTGAAAAGGAGAAAATTATTAATTTAGGGAAAGTAAGCAGATGTATAAGGAAGGGAACAATAATGATGTATTAATTGATTTTACAAATTATGCTCTAACTATACTTAAAGGATGGGGAAAGGGAAGTGTGAGTGTGAGTGTATGTGTGTGTGTGTCTTGGAGGGGGTTTGTGTAACAGAGTCAAATCCTCATCTTCTATTATAGGAAGTCAACAGTTAATCATCTAAAAACTAAATCAATCAAGGAATACTGGAATAAGCATGTTTTCTTGAAATATGAAGGCAGATACCAAAAGAAAGTGCTAAGAGATTTGAAAGGGATTGTCTCTGAGGAGCAGAAATGAGGGAAGAAGGATGCTGTATTTTATTTAAACTCTTAGAGTCCTCTGACTTTCAACAAATTGAACACTTAACTTTGATAAAGATATATTAAAACAGAGTCCTATGCAATGAAAGTGTGTTTGGAACACAAACAGTAGCATATGGTATCTCTTCTGTATCTTGCTGTGATCCCATAAAAATATCTGGTAGATCATCTCAGATCAGTGTGATAAATGGACTTCATTCTTTTTCACAGTTACATACTGTTTCATTGTTGACATAGATTTATAAACATATGGATATTACAATCCCAGAAGTCAAATCCTAGGTCAAAACTTTGAGATACTTCTATTTCCCTCCAAAGATGTTACACCCAAATTTATAGCCTCACCAGCAGTTGCCCCACACATTTACCAACACGATATGCTATAGAGCCGTTGTATCTTTTCAATCTGTTATGTGAAAGGACGTATTGACAGCATTGTCATTAAGGATTTAACTTACATTTCTTTAAATTTATTTTTTAAACACTGTCTACTCAATCCAATTTTAAAAACCTTTCCTCATTCAGATCCTTTCTCCAGTCTCTTCTTATTTTCTCTATTCTATTTCTCAAAAACACTGTCCTTCTCTTCAGTTACAATATAGCACAAAATTTATCTTTTTCAGAAAACTTTTATAATAACGTTTTAACTTCCTCTGAACATTTTATGTTGATATGCATAGAGTCACAATTATAAACATATTTCTTAGTTTAAGATGTGTGCAAAAAATACTGATTGTGATATAAAGAGAATTATAAATATATACATGTGTAAAGAGAATTATATCTTTGCATTGATTTTCACTTTATATATTTCACAGAATTTAAGATGTAATTGATCGCAAGATGTACCATTATTTTATGAGCTACTAAGGAAGTAAAAATGCTGCCAATTAAAAGAAAAAAAACACACTGCTTTCTTATCACTTAAAATTTTTATCTTATACTTATTGAATATTATACAATTCATATTTTTACATTCTTTGGAAATAAAAGTAGCATGTAAAAATGTTAATTTATTGTATGGCTATAAAAAGTAGGATAATTACTGTATTTTGAAAACTGGTAAATTTCTAGGAGTTGCCTTTGTAAGATGATAAATAACCAACATTAATACAAAAAGGGGCTGCTGTAGTGTTGGTTTAATAATTTTAAGCCATTTAGCAATCGGTTCTGCAAAGCAAAACTAATCCTCCATTAAGTCACATGTAACCTTTCTGAAAGCATCCCAGTGCCAATGACTATAATTCTATAAAGTACGAATTCCTGTTATACACTGAGAGGCTTTATGTGGTTTATTTACCTACAAAAGTGCTACTGAGGTTAATTTCATTGGCATGAATTATTATGGCATGTATATGATCAATGGAGGTTTTGTAACCAAAAAGGAGTTCCAAAGTTTGGGGGTGACGTTTCAGAAAGACACTCGTCCACAGATATACATAAAAGCAAAGTACTAAGTTTCTTGATTCAGAGCAGGTATATTTATTTTAAGATAATGTAAGAATGCTAGACAGGTTGCTTTATAATTATATTTTACAAAAAGAACAATAAACTGGAATTTTGGTTAAATAAATTTCTTAATATGAAACGATACTGAGAAGTATCACAAACCTTTTATCATGTAGACTCTCTGTAAAGAGTATGATAACTAAAGTTTTATGTATAGCTTTATCTTTCTAAAGAATAGTTTGTAGAAGAAATACAAAGAGAATAATATAATAGCATACATGTATATAGTACATTATTTTAATGCATTTAAAATTTTTTCAATTGATGTAAACAACAATCCAGTGCATTATTTGTACTTCTCATTTTATAGAGGATAAAGTTCAAGAGTGAGAGTGTGTAGGAATCACTGTAATTTACTACTCTTTTCCATTTTAATTGACTAGAAGATTTTATTTATTCTGATTTCAATATTATGCTGCAGTCCTACAAACAGATGACGACCCATTTACTCTAATAATAAGGAATAAAGATTGCACATGTAGTATTCCTCGGGAGAATGGCAGAATTATAAATAATTTTAATGAGCTAATTCAGCTTTTAATGTACATCTATAGGACTGTTCTAAATGGCAATTTTTTTTCATGTGTGCAAGATAATATAACTTATAGTCAAAGATAAAAGTAAATTGCATTTTTTCAAGAGAACATTCAGTGTATGGTACAATAGGCTTGGGGTATGTTAAATGAGTTGGTAGGCATTTTCATTTCGTCAATCAATTGAATCAACCTTGAAAACAGGTGAAATTAAATTATTATACTGTATGGAATCTTCAAATTTTGAATCATATATTTCTATATCAATGTAATAAATAATAATCAGATAAAGAATGTAAAAAGTCAAATACATAGTCAATGCTAATAAAAACATTTTCTTGGAAATAACATTACTTTTATAAATAGGCTGATGCACAGCTAGCAATTTCACATTTAATAACTTATAAAAACAAAGTCAGTATTTCCTATTTTCATATGCAAAAGCAAGGTAATAGTTGGAGTGTGTGCAATTTACATTAAATACATCTTGGAAAAGAAGATAAATGAATATATCTTCCACATACAATACATTAATATATTAAATTCACTGTTTTACTTTTATACAGTATCCTTTTATAAAGTAACTTTTTTAGTTGAACAGACTTAACCATTAGGTACTACGATGTTATTTTCTCCATGTGAAAATCTAATCTAATTTTGTTTTTCAAAACAAAGTTTTTTTTCTCTTTTAAGACGTATTATTTTGAAATACTAAATTATATTTAAATTATTATGATTGGCTGTTTGGCATCACTTTTGCATGTGGTCCTTTTGCAAGAAACAAAATATTAACTTCTACCTAATATTTACATCATTCTTCTAAACCATTTTGTAGTAGTCTGTTATAGTGTTCATTTTGATGCTATAAACATTTACTAACACTATGCAGTAAGTTACAGAGTGCTAAGATATTATTGTGACTGGTATTATTAACATATACCATCTGCAATCAGGAGCAGCATCGTGTTAAAACAATGACAATGAGAATGACTGCTGCAACAACTACCACGATTTTACCATCAATATGTGACATTTTTTGAGACAAACAACTCTACATTTTAAATTTCTGTATACATAAAAGAATACCAGACATTCTGTTGACTTTGGTAAATGAACACAGCTTTAAAAACACTTTATGTGATTCAAACAATGTAAGTTATGTACTTTTAAAAGTATAATGTAAACCATCGTGTTGTATAGTAGCTTCTTTTTCAAAACAATTTCAATATAATTAAAAACCAGATAATAGAGATTTATCGACAATTCTAGGGCCCTAAGATAAATAAATCTTAGGGAATATCCATTTTCTTAAAGTAAGTTCACAGTCTAAAACCAAAGAAAACATGTCGTTCTTCATTTTTAAGTGATCTACATTCCAGGAGCCATACATTAATTCGAAGTTAGGCAAATTTCTAATAAAATTTTTAAAATATTTAAAATACATTCTTATATAGTCATTGGAGGTATCGATATACTTCTGAAAGGAATGAAGAAGTGCAGAGTTCAGTAAATCAAGGCAAAAGCTTAACCTGATAAAACATAACTTTTGTAGCTAGTAAGAAGATGCATTTTATCTGTCTTACATTCAAGAATTCAGTTCAAGAAAAAAAAATATAGTGTTTCACCTTTTCCTTCATTTCTACAAGTTCTGATCTCAGACCTGCTTCTGTTCTCTGAAATTTTTGCTTCTTGCGTTTGTCATGTAGATAATAATCCTCTAAAGTTTGCTTTACAAGTACCTAGTCAAGGAAAAAAAAAAAAAATATATATATACACACACACACACACATACATATATCTCACACACGCACACCCACACCCACGCAATATTTATTTAGGATGAAATTCGGAGGTAATGGCATTTATCAAATATTATTATGATAATACTATTAAATGGTAAGGTACATAATAAAAAAACCAACAGAAAATATAAGAATCAAAGACTTAATCATAAAACATTTCCTTTAATTGAAAAGTTCAGTGTTTTGTTTAGTAACTTGTCTAATCAGTCTTACAAAAGTGTAGAATAAATGTAGTCATTTTTATCTATGGTTCTATGTACTACTACATATAATAGAATCAATAGTTTCAGTGTGACACTATATGACGAATTAGTTGGGAACACTACTTTTATGGACATATAAACAGTACAGTACGGTCCTACTTTTTAAATGTTTAAGTTCTTACAGGGCTGTATAAAGTTCTTTAAAACAGAGATTAGGAAGACCTGACTTCTTTTGTTAGCTTAATCACAACTGTTACCACCTTAGATAAATAAATACGCCTACTTGCTGCTAAACATTTTAGATCAGCACCCCCCTAAATAGGTTCCGTAAAACATTAGGCCTCAAAGCTATTTTGGAAAATACTGAATACTACCCTTTTCTTTTAGAGAGACAAACGAATAGTGGTATAGTAAGATCTCATAAGTTCTAAGGGAGAAGGAACCTAATTTAACCATGTTTGATATTTCTCAAAGTTATTTGACTAACCAGTACTTTTTTTTAAAAAACAATGTACTTTTTTTGAAGAATAATGTGCATTGGTATCCTATGGGACCACTTTGGTCATACTGCTATAGACAGATATAAATGTTTCAAGCCTGAGAAAAACAGCAAGAAATATATATTTGCAAACGTGTAAATGAATAAAACCTTCAAGTAGAGACCTATCTAATTGGAACCAATAATAAACCAGAATTTCACAGTTCCATTTGACTTTTTTTTTTTTTTAAAGAGAAGAGGAAAAATAAACCCCTCATTTTGGAGATCGGCAACAAGTTTGAGACATTTCTCTGGATTGCTACAAATTTAATGATCTCCCGTATCTTCTTCAAGACAGTGATAGTTAACAAATAAGATGACTTTCCCATTAGACAGAATGAGGATCCATCCTAGTTTGCGACTTACTAGCAAGCTGTCTTGGGCAAATTATTCACTAAGCCTGTCTTTTCTCTGCTGTTAAACGAGATATTATCTGTGAGGATTACATGAGATACTACACGTGGAAGAACACCTAATATTAGTGCCAGGCACCTCAAATACCTAAAAAATGTAGCTGCTATTATTGTAGCAGATGTTTGGAATCATGATCCTAAAAAACAGTAACAAATATTCCCTAGGTGTTAATAATCCTAGATTACAACAGTCCAATCTAGAGTCATTATTTTGTATCTGCTCAGATACAAAGCTGCAAGCTAAACAAAAAAATTTTTCAGTCAAGTCACTCCAAGAGAATTCCAGTTGGATGACTATTTATTCCAGTTCATTTTTAGATTACAACTTAATTACAACAAAGTGGTGCTTTGTTATAATGACTAATTCTTAAATTGAATTACTGGACAAAAATAAATTCATTAAAGAGTAATTCTTAAACTGAATTAGTGACCTAAAGATTCAAAATAAATTCTATTTCTTACAGCTAGTTCTTAAATGTCATAACAAAAAATAAATTCTGACTCTTCCTTTATTGTTACTGAACAAATTTAGACAGAGAAGCTTACATACTTATCTGCTATGGAGTTCCTTCTTCAGACAGGATTTGAAAGTGGGATACTTCTGAACTGTTTTATAACCCTGTGGAACAGAGGATTAAAAATGCCAATGTAAATAAAATGTTATGGGCCACAAACATGCAATACAGAAAGCAAAAATAAAAACACATAACACCCAAGAGAGAAATACAGTGTCAGAGGCTTATAGCGTAGTTTATATTTTAATTTGATCTTGCTACGCTAGAATTTTTGAGGAGGAATAAATGATTTTCAATATATGCCCTTTCAGGTATTCATGCCATCATCCCAAATGTTAACAGCTAACCACTAGGTGGCAGTTAAGTACACAGTATCTTACCAAGACAGCTTAGCTTTCAAAAAGTCCTTACAAAAATCTTTAAAAACATTTTCTAAGATGAATCTTGATTTTTTTTTTGTATATATAACTTTTTCTCTTTTTAAATATACTTACTATGCTTAGGGGTATTCTTACCAAAGAGGGAAGTTTGAATATTCCAACTGTTATTAGTAATTGTTTTTTTCTTTTTCCATTTGTGGTACCATCCACAAATGTTAGATGTGTAAACATTTAATGATTCATGTTATATTTCATTCTTTAAAATGTACTTCTGAGAAAAAAAAATCATTGAATTTCTCATAATTACTTTTCAGTGTAAGATGTTAAGAGAAAAAATGGTTCAACAGACAAAAAGTTTTACTTTATTTTCCATATAAAAAGTACTGAATATGCAGTGACTTAAGCACCTCAAGTTGCCTTCTGGAAATCAGCATGATATCAAATGAGAAACAGTGATATTTCTTTGTATACTAACAAGTTTGGCACTCAGTGTGCAGACTGAACTAATAAAAAATATTTGGCACTTCCCCCCACAAATTGGGATGAAGACATTAAACTAATGAAGTATGAAAATAAGTTAGTAAAATTCAAATTGACTTTATATTTAAAAAAAGCCTTATCTTATTTTTTAATCTCAAATTGTTTTTGAAAGTACGTTCATAGGGTCTCATATTCTTTGTTTTTCAAATATAACATTTCATGTTTATACCTGTAAAAATTTATATTATTTCTGAAACTTAGATGGATTTTTTTTCTTTCAGTTTTTAAAAAGGATATCAATAGGCTTGAAGTTTATAGGTTTACCCGGAATCCTCTATGGAGTCTGTCTTTCATAATTCCAATAAATTCTTTATAACTTAATTGATCATCTTTGTCAACGTCAAAAATCTTGAAGACTGTGTTCACTAAATGTGGTGAAAGTTTGAGGCCAGTAGCTACATAGACGGCACGCTTAAATTCATCTAGATAAATGTTACAGAAAAGGAGTAAACCGTTAACATTATTTTTATAATATGTACTAATTACTAGCAAGGTTATAAAAGAAGTTTTCTTTCTAAACATGGGTCATTTTCTTATGTAACATACATGACTTTCCATTAATCATGCTATCTTTCAGGGAATAAAATATTTTTGTAGTTTTAATTTAAAGGCCCAAGGATAACTGTATCTTAGTTTAACAATACATTCATATTCACTGAACTTTTAATGAGCACCTACTATCAGCGACAGACACTTTAGAAGTTATTAAGATGAGCAAGTTCTCAAGAAACCTACAGTTCATATGGGAGATGAGACACCTGCCCAAATAACCATCACACAGGACCACACAAAAAGTACCAACCGCGAGCTGTGAGAACCTGGAAACGAGTGATGACGTGTGTAGTGTGGAGGAGGGAGAAAGAGGGGCGGTGCTAGGAAAGGCTGCGACTTTGTGTTTGAGCTGAGCTCTGAAGGTAGATGATTTCAGCTTGTAGAGATGAGAGAAATGGCAGATAAGATGACATGAATGAACAAAGGCATGGAGGGAACAGGAAAGAATAAGGGGCATTCTGAAAACAATGAGCGATCTGGACAAATAGGAGCTGGAACTCTGTCCAGGGACTTTGAGGCGAGGAACCTGTACATTCTTCAGCAGGCAGTTGGGGAGCTGAAGGGTTTTCCACAGCAGGTGTGTTGTAGAAATGTGATCTGTGTTTTAGAAAGAGTATTCTGTGAGTTGTCTGGGAAACATCGGAGAGGAAGGTGGGTAATGACAGGAACACCACTGAGGTGGCTACCGCAATGCAATGGTCCTTTTGGGAGGTAATAACCTGGATTAAGGTGCTAGTAGTTGTGACAGAAAAGAGTTAGATATATTCCTAGCATCTGCAGGAGTACGCAACTGATTTTTTCCATTTCCTTGTTCCACCAAGTAAAAGAGCACCTGTCCATTCTGACCTGGGGAAGCAGATATTGAGATGTTTTCTTTTTCCTTGTTGTGGTTAATGAGGTTTATCATGGGAGCAAACACTGGCCTGGGAAGGCAGGGCTCCCAAAGGTTCTGGTTTTAAAACACTAAAATGGGTTGAGTTGAGAAGATGCTTTATTTGAACATCTAGACTGGACAAAGGGTGAACTATGACAAATTTTGGGGTTCCTCTTCTTCAGTGAATGAATGAAGCTATGAGGGATTTATAGCTGTTTTGGGGAGAGCTATAATTATCACTAGTACTTAGGTGCTGCAGTTCGGCTTCTCCTTAGAACTTGGCAATAAAATAACGACTGTCCTCTAAGGTTAAGTTTGAAATGACATTTAATAGATTATGACAGAGGCAGGTCAAATCACCTTAACGACATGAGCAGACAGTCCTCATATGACAAGAATACTTAAAAAGGATGTGGCCGTGAGGGAAGAAGGGACAGCAGTCATAGCCACAGAATCCTAGAAAAAGGACTTGACTTGTTAGTCTACCTACAGAGAAAGGAGGTGGTCCTGAGGTCAACAGCATTCTCTGTTTTATGATAGTTATATTATTTTATAAATTAAGCAAAATCAACATTCAATTTTATTTATCATTCTTAAAACTCGGTTAAGTCCATGGCTAGGAGGTGACTCTGTTGACAAAATTCAGGTTGCTGAGCCAGCAGGGATTGTGGGTAAAATCAGTACTATCATCCTGTGATGATGTCTGAGGCATGACTGGCTGGCTCTTCTATAGGTAGACACACAGCCCTCAATGTTACCAAGCGGCCATGAGGTTTCCTCCTCTTTGAACCTTTACAAACATCATTAGCTTTTCCCCCTAATATGAAATGAAGGGCAGTAATAAGTTTAATACAAAAATTTAGTTATTACCTTAAACTTCCCTTGGGGAAAACAGATTTTTCATTGAATTACACAACAAACTTGCAGGCAAGTTGATGGCTAATATGATATATCTAATTAATTTGCTGTCAAAGTCCCTAGAAACAATGTAGAATTATTTTTTACTTTTAAGTTTTAAAGGATTTTTACTTACCTTGCCCTATAGAACGACTCGCAAAGTTATACATATTCAAGGCTATTGCAAAGTCTTCCAGGTTGTTCAAAAACTGGAAAAATGACCTGAATTCATCAAATGTGATGCCCTATATAGGGAGAATATATGTAAGTATATTTAGTATTGCCAAATTTATTACAATAAGTGTCTATACTTACTAGAAGTAAATAGATTAAGCATGTGCAATATGTCTTGTAAGTAAACATTTCAAGGATACATTCTGAAACCTTCTTTCTCCAAATGGGATGTAAAATTAACTCACATTTTTTTCCAATGGGCAGTGTTGTTACCATTACAATGATAGGTGAAAAAAAATATATATATTTTTTAGCTGAGCCATCCTGCTACCTGTTGGCAGCTCAGCGGCTGCTCAGCTCGGGCTGGACTCGAACCGCTGTTGCTCAGAGCTCAAACTCTTGAGCGAGCTCTTAACCAACTGAGCCACTCGGCCGGCCTGAAAATATTTTTAAAACACTATCATATCAGCACAAAGTTAAAAAAAAAATACTACAATAAAAATGGATATAAAAGCGTCAGTTTTGAACTCTGCATTTCAGACCTGAGTTTTTTAAACCCTGAAAGGTAAATACAAGGACGAAGGAAAAGAAAAAAAAGATGAAAAGAAAAAACCCACCTAAAAAAAAATCGTTCTCCTGTGCATGTATTCCTTAAGTACAATTAAGCATTAGGTAATTAATGTCTTTATAATGACAACACCAAATGAAAATGCTGAACAAGGCGACAGTAGTGCGTTTTCACTTGTTTCTGCCATAATAATGCTGCCAGGAGAGCAGGAGGAAGTACAATGACAAGGCGAGTTTTGTACTTGCAACACAGGGCGTGGTGTGGAATCACAGAAAGACTCTGCAATGTCATTTGCATAAATTGCAGTTATCATCACTCCTATTACTTCAATTAAACAGGAAAGTTATTTAAACCAAGCACAATGTAGCTCAGATAATACAAATTTGGATATGAAGAGCTGCATTTAATTAATGAGCTCTCCTCAACAAAATTAACATGATGGGAAAAAAATGAAACAGAAAAGGGCAGAGGGCCAAGAGTTTAGGCTTAACAAGACCCTAATGTGGGGTTAAAAAGGAAGGGAAACTAACACTGCAGCACTGGGAAGGCAGGGAGAGGACCGACCGGGACAGTCTATTTGCATAAAAGTCAGCTGCTAATTAGGTGATTTGTTAGCAAAATCATATTATCAATTTATTATCAAAGTAATAATACCCAATTTTGGTATACATTATTTCCACTTCAATTACAACCCTTCTTTATTTGCAAGGAGAATCCTCATTGTCCTTTCTCTTCACATTTTTCTTTCTCTTTCCTTCGTGGCTACTGCAACCCTGGATTCTGCTCTGTGACCCAATCCCACCTGATTCCACCTGCTATGTATCCTGGAGAGGACTGTATGAATCAATTAGGGAGACTGAGCCAGAAGAGGTTTGTCTTGATGTGGAGAGCTTGTTGCTAGGGAAACTGGTCACTGCTCTGGTTTTGTACCAGTTTACCCAGCGACCAGCTGCCACAGCAACAGTCTCTGTCTTAGGGTGACAGGTTAATGCTGGTAAAAGTGAAAAACAGGAGGATGGGATATTTTTAAGCAAAGTGTAAACAAAAACGTCAACACTTTTACAGAGCATAAAGTGAAAAAGCAAATCAAAGAATGACAGGATACAAAGTTCACCCTCTGAACCTTTATATTTTCAAAATAGGGCTCTCATGTTTGGAAAGACAGTAAAATTCAAAACCATACAATAATTCTCTTGTGTAGATTAAACTTTTGTGTCTGGAAATATGGAATTATAAATTGAAAAACAGGGCAATCATATTGATGGAGATAATTTAAAGCAATTCACTCTTAACAGCAGTGAGGGGAGGGGTTTGGAGAAAGGGGAAATAGACATTTCTTCTTCTCACTCTCACCCCAGAGTCACTTCTGTAATGAACCACTGGGACTTGAAAGAAATGTGCCCTAATTGTTAGAAGTAGAGTGAAAAGAAGTAGGTTACATTCTAACAAAAATAAAGTGATAATAACTGAAAAACTTAAAGCATCAAAAATACATACATACTGAGAGTCCAGAAATAAACCCAAATATCTATGGTCAACTGATTTTCAGTAAGGGTGTCAAGACCATTTATTGGAGAAAGAACAGTTTCTTTAATAAATGGTGCTGAGACAACTGGATAGCCACATGTAAAAGAAAGAAGTTTGACTCTTACTTCTCTCCATATATAAAAATTAACTCAAAATGGTTCAAAGGCCTAAATTTAATAGCTAAAATAAAAAAAAACCTGTGTGCATTAAAGGATACTATCAAGAGAGTATTGAGTTGTCAGAAAAATCATGGCGCATTTTTGCAACGAAAAACATAGAGAAAATATGTCATGACTTTTCCAACAACCCAATAAACAGACAATCCACAGATGGGATAAAATATTTGCAAATTGTGTATCTGATAAGTCTAGTGTCTAGAATATATAAAGAACTCTTACAAATCAATAACAAAAAGACAACCCAATTAAAACATTGAAAAGGACTTGAATAGACATTTCTTCAAAGAAGATACACAAATGGCCAACAAACACAGGAAAAGATACTCAACATCATTATTCCCTGGGGAAATGCAAATCAAAACCACAGTGATACCACTCTACACGCAAGAGGATGGCTACAATTAAAAAGGCAGACCATAACAAGTGTTGGTGAGGATGTGGAGAAATTAGAAACTTAATACATTGTTAATGGGGCTGAAAATGCTGTAGCTACTTTGAAAAACAGTTTGGCAGTTTTTCAAAATGTTAAACATTAAGGTAGCCATGTGACCGAGCTATTTCACTTTACTCTGAGGTATATACTTAATTCTTTGGAATTTAAAACGTGCCCACACAAAATTGTACACAAATATTATAAAAGCATTACTAGAATAGTCAAAATTGAAAACAACTCAAATGTCTACCAACTAACAAATAGATACAATGTGGTACATCTATGAGGTGTGATCAAACAATATGGTGAATGTTTAAATATAAAAAAAATATTATAGTAAAAAAGATACATTGCCATTAATCCCTCTCAAAATACTCCCCCTTGCTTTGAACACACTTATCCCATCTTTCTTGCCACTTTCTGAAGCAGTTCTGGAAGTCTTCTTTTATGAGTGTTTTTAGTTGCACTGTCATGGCTGCCTCAATGTCCTGAATCATTTTGACTGGGGAAGAGCCAGAAGTCGCACGGTGCCAGGTTTGATGAATAAGGTGGATAAGAACACACCATAATGTTTTTATTTGACAGAAATTGCTGTATATCAGAAGTGTTAAGTGACACGGAGCATTGTCATGATGGAGGATGACTTATGGCACACTTTAAAACACACCTGTCAACCATAGCTCACACCTGACTGGCTGCACCAAACAAGTTGAAACTTCTCACACACTGTTACTAAGGTTCAGCATGCGTTTTCTCATATTGAAGATCCCTCCCTTTCCATTGGATGGCACTTGGCAGCAGCATTCACCGTATTTTGTGATCACAATGGAAAGGCTCCGTGTCACACATCACTTCTGGTACAGCAATTTCTGTCAAATAAAAACATTACAGTGGGTCCTCATCCACCTTATTCACCAGGTCTGGCACCGTGCGACTTCTGGCTCTTCCCCAAAGCCAAAATGATTCAGGACATCAAGGCAGCACAACTAAAGACACTCATAAAAGAGGACTTCCAAAACTGCTTCAGAAAGTGGCAAGAATGATAGGATAAGTGTGTTCAAAGCTAGGGGTCATATTTTGAGGGGGATTAAAGGCAATGTGTCTTTTACTATAATGAATGTTTTTTTTTTATTTAAATATTCACTGTACTTTGTGATCATACCTCACATATAATACAGTATTATTTGGCAATAAAAAGGAACAAAGTGCTGATATTTGCTACAAAATGGATGAACCTTGAAAAAGTTATGCTAAGTTAAAGAAGCCAGACACAAAAGGTTACATATTATATAATTCCACTGATATAAAATGTCCAGAATAGACAAATCCACAGAGACAGAGGCAGATTAATGGTTGCCAGGGGCTGAAGGGAGGGGCAATAGGGAGTGACTCTCTCTAATGTCTACGAGGTTTCTGTTTGGGATGATGAAGAAGTTCTGGGACTAGCAGTGATGGTTACACAACACTATGAACAGGCTTAAGGGCACCAAATTTTACTCTCTAAAATAGTAAATTATGTTATGTATATTTTACCACAATAAGAAAATTACATATACTTATTGTAATACGTCACTGAGGATGTGAATGTACATATATAAGTACGCTTGAATTGAACTGTGACAAAGCGTAAGTGGACAAAATTGAGATCGTTAATAAGACATATTTCAATAAAAAGACAAACCAGAAAATGCTGTGCATATGAAACTGCAACTATAATTACACTGGTTGTGCTGGTTGATAATGTGCTCCATCTGTAGTCATGACAGTGCTCCCAAGTTGTGCACTTGTTTATCTTTGGTTGAGGAACATAAGCCTGAAATCCTTAGAAGATTAGGAAGACAATGGGGGAGTGGGGGAAGAGGGTAATGTCATGGACAATGATGGAGTAGGGTGCTTAAAGAATTTGTCCCTCCACCCAAACAACCATAAGCTGGGAAATACTGATAGAATCAATTTTTTGAAACTCTGGAATCTAATCCAAAGTTTACAGCAAACAGGGACTGATTAATAAAGGGAAGGGTGCCTGAAATTCAGTAAGAGAGTTTCGTGGTGCTTTAGTCCACTGAACTACCATTTTTCTCTTTCAATGCTGTGACAGCTTTTATGATGGCAACTGGTGCTCCTGGTTTGGCTTCCTGGTAATGGGGGGCTAATCTGGACCTTATTCTTAAAATGTCATGGCATGCGATCTGACTCGTCTAGGGGTTCCCTGAGGGATCAGCACAGAGGATGACTTTTGTTTCATGCCCTCCTCCTTGGACTGGAGTGGCTTTCCAAGTAACAGTGATATCTATCAAAAGATTTAAAGACGTATGCACACTGTGCCAGCCTGAGGCAAGGAACGACAGAAGGGACAAGCCGCAGACAGAATACAAAAGCCTGGAGTGGCTAACAAGAATGGTTATTGGGAGAATAGGGACTCAAAGGGCCACTGTATATACCCGAGAAATTGGACATGCCCAGGAACTGATGCACACTTTGAAAAGACCTGAAAGGACACTAGCTTACCACCTCTGGCAGATCTATAGGCTTTCAAGTGCTGAAATAAAAACAAAACAAAACCTGTCAACCAAGAATTCTTTATGTGGCAAAACTATCCTCCAACTACAATAATCCAGGCAAGAGAGAATGGTGGCTTGGGTGGTAGCAATGGAGATGGCAAGAAGTGGTAAAATTCTGATAGAGGAAGTGTCAAGAAGATTTGCTGTTGGAGTGTATGCAGAATGTGAGGGGAAGGAGTCTGAAAATTTTGGCTAGAACAACTAGGAATATAGTTTACATTAATTGCAACAGGGAAGATGGTGTGTGGAGCAAGATTTGTTGCAATGATCAGGAGTTTAATTTTGAAACTATTAAGCCTAAGATGTCTATTAAATACCCAAGTGGAGATGCTGAGTAGGCAGTATGATGTAGAAGTTTGAAATTCAGAGGAGAAGTTTAAGCTGGAGACAACTTAAACACTAATTATTACCAAAACTAGTCCTGACTGTACCCTTAATGACAATAGTCAAATATCCAATTGCCTGCACAATTTCTTCACTTAGATATCTCGTAGGAATCTCACACTTAACTTGTCCAAAATAAAACTATTGATTCTTTCCTAACCCCAAACTTGTAGTCTTCTTAGCTCAGTAAATAGCACCACTCTTTTGACCTTGTGATTCAGGCCCAAACCTAGGAGTTCTTGATTCCTCCTTTTCCTTCATATTGAAGTCTATTCCAGCAACAAGTCCTATCGGCTCTAGTTTTTAAATGACCCAATATCTGACCACTTTTCCCTACTTTGACCCTGGCCCATGCCATTCATCTCTTTCCTGCCCCTCCTGTAACAACATCCTAATTTGTCTTTTTCTTTCAAAGTGGGTCTAACTAAAGTCTATTCTGTACCAGCCAAGATGATCTTTTGAAACATGAATCAAATCATATCTTGCACATGAGTCAGATCACATTTGAGTGTCACAGTGAACACAAAATACTTGCTGAATAAATACTTGCTGAATGAACAAACATCACGCCTATGCTCGAAAGCAAGGTTGGCAAACTTTGGTATCTGCTGTTTGCTTTGCCTAGAATGCTCTTCATCCAGATCTTTGCACAAGTCACTCCTCCTAGTCTTTCTTCAAAAGCTACCGTTCAGAAAAGCTTTCCCTAATAATGCATCTTCTTTCCCACTTCCCACAACTTTCAGTCCTCTTCAGAATATTTATCGTTATCTGAAAATGTCTTTTTTTTTTTTTTTGCATACTTGTTTGTTGTACCTCTCCACTAATTCCATGACAGGGTATTGCTTATCTTGTCACTTGCTCCACAGTGGCTAGAATAAGGCCTAGTAAAGAGTACATGCTTAATATCTATTAGATACATGAATGGAAATTAAAGTATTTTAGAAATGTAAAGTGCTATCTATTGAAACAGTAGTTATTGTTTCGGAGAGAAGGGAATGAAGGGAAAGACATAAGCAGGGTGTGATAGCAATATCATTGGCTTAGGGTCTTGGGTTTGAATCCTTGGGCAAGTGTCTAAGTATCTGAGAGCCTCAGTTTCCCCTTTTCTAAAAGAAAGATGTCAATAGCTGGAAGGTGTTCTAAGGATTGATGAGACAGTGCAAAAAAAAAATCAATGAGAATCAATGCTAGTTTACATGCTAAATTTTTATTGTAATGATTTGTAGTGCTTATGATACTTCTATCAATTAGAAGTTTTTAAAAGCTGAATTTAACTTAAAAGAAAACTTTCTATTTTGAAATAATTTTTGATGTGAAAAAATGTTCTAAAAGCAGTAAAGAGATCCAATATACTCTTCACCCTGGAATTAAACTTTTTGAGTTACAGATTTCTATAAATTTCCATATGATGAAAGAATTAAAAAAAAAAAGATTCTTTAAGGCCCTAAAAGTACCCAAGTAGTTTGACATAGTATATTTTCCAATATTTATTATAACTAGTATAATTTCCAATATTTTCCAATTTATGAATTGAAAAAATCCAGTTTAACATGTAAAACAGATAAAAAGAGATTATATAAACTAATGGCCAAATGCATCAAGTCCTTTTTTCTCATTCCTTAGGGGATGTGGAGAATTGTTAGCACTGTCAGTGTATCCATTTTAAACAAAGTCAAACTATTTGCGAGTTTTTCTTGGGTAGATTAACTTGATCCTTCTACAAACACAAGTAGAAGGCAATATATCCAAAACATCCCATGCTTGAAGGGGGTACTTGTAACACCAGTTCTATTTGGTTGCAATGATGCATTTAAATACCACTAGATAATGCACAACTGATCAGAATTGCTGACAAAACACTTAACTACTAAACAAATAGACAGTCAGTGTCCCAAGGTCTTAACCATTCATGCCATCCAAACTCTGGAAAAAAGACCTCACTTCAACTGCTGATAAGATCACTCACTCATCAATGGCCATCTTCAAATGACCTTTTCTTAAGGATATTATAGAAATGAATCAAGTGTAACTGAAATGATATCAATATAAACTGCTTTATATGAGGTGTTTATGTAGTAGTAAAAGCATAGAATGGAAGAGAATTTTCTTGGAAAATGATATTCATAATCCAAATAAAACAACTACTAACAACCATAAGGTTTTTATAATACCTAAGAAAAATATGGATATCTACCCAGAATTTTAATCAATTTTAAAAATTTAGCCAAGGCACTTAGGACACATAGGAAAAAAGAATGAAATATATCCAAATATTTCTATTAATCCACAGAGGAGCAAAAGAACTAATAGGACAAAATATATTTTTTGACCTACATAACATATGCAACAAAATAAATATGGGGGATTAGATACCTTTTCTTCAGGTATACTGTAACGCACATTTTCCAAAAATACTGATGTATTTTCCACATTTGTATATCGTAAAAGAATATGAGCAAAATCTTCTTCGCTGATAGTATTCATCCCATTCGAGTAGGAAAGGAATTCTATTTCTAGAACTTCTGTTTGGAGGTTATCCATGAATCTATGACAAAAATATATAAAGAATGAATGAGATAAATGAAGAGTTATGGTAACAGATGGTACTTAGCCTCTCAGGGTTTTGGCTTCCTCATATATAAAAGGAGGAGAACAAACATACCTTGCAGGGTAGTGACGAGACTTAAAGGAGTTAAGGTGTAGTGTCTAGTGTTTCCTGCAGTAAATACTATATACATTATTATTTATTATTATTATTATTATTATTATTATTACTACTTTGGCTTATTGAGACTAAGAAATTGGTAATATACTTTCTTCTGATTATATAGGAAATGACAATACATATATCCAGACATTTTTTTTTATCATTCAGTAGCTTCCTGTTATAGTTATCAATGTAAACACTGGTAAATAGAACTGATGAAAGTGGATATTTGTTATGCATAGTACCTTCAGCTGAGATGAAACCAGCAAAAAGATTTGTATCACTGCACTATATGATTCTAAAGACTTTTCTGACTTTAGCATGTTAACATTTTTTAATACAAATAAAAAAGTAAGCTCACCTATAAAAATCTTCAAAGTTGAGCTCAGCTTTTCCTTTTTTTCCAAAAAAGTGTACAAGAAGTGTAGTATCTGTTACTAAACTTGTAATGTCATCAGCACGCTTAAAAAAAAAATCACAATTTAAAAATTAGCAATAAAACAGAATAGGGATACCCAATACCCCTCAAAGAATTTTATCAACACATAAATATCAAGAATGTAAATATATTAACATTAGATTGAAAAGCATAAGGCTGTATTAATAAATGCTATTATAGTTAAAATGAAGTTCAAAATTAGAAAATAGAAATATGAATAAAAATCTATCTTTATCTTCAAAAACATTTTTAAAGATATTTTAGGAAGTTTTCAACCTCAAATTGTGCATACAGGGTATCTATATTTAAATTATCTACAATAGTTGAACTCCTTTAGTAATCATGTAAATATTTTATTTTTATTTAAGTAATTTAAAGTATAAATTTTCCTACTCAGCCTGAAAAATCCATTTTTTCAGGATGTTCAAAGAGGTGAAGTCTTCAGATGTACTGAACATATGGGGCGGACAAAGGAATGGTCTCAAGCTTCACAAAATAACTTCTCTTAACCATGATACTCTTCTATTCTATTCCATATTTATGATACGTTAAATAGGAGATACTATATTTTGAAAGAGAAACTACAGTAATATTACTTTGTAATTTACATCATCTATACTGTTTTTCAAAGAAAAGTCTAACATTATTTTTTGAATGGATAAGAAATTAATTCCAGAGGGTTTTTCCTTCCCCACTCAACTTGATAAACCAAGTTCCAACAAGTGTATTCTTAAAATAGCTTAATTATAGTCCTTTTAAAGTTCAATGTCTATGGAAATCTTCCTTTCCTTTTATGTAGCTTTAGAGATTTTTTTCCTTTCTTTCTTTCCCTCCCTCCCGTCTCTTCATTTCCCTACTCTTCTTTTTCTTTCCTTCCTTCTTAAGTTGTCCATTAACTCATGCCTATCTTATAAACTCAAGCACAGTAACATTTACATGATTATAATTCTCCCATATACTCCATAGAAAGCATAAGAAACAGAAAGCATATACTTCTCTACAAAGGATCAGTTGTCTCACCCGTCTTTCACACACTAAATTTTGGTAATCCTTTGATTCCTCATAGCCTCTTTCCAATCTTTCACGAAGATGGTTTCATAACATTTATAGGATCTTTATTTCATTTCTCCCTAAACCAAATATTAGTCTCTTCTAATGACTAGTATGGGATTATAGCGACTGCATCTTCTGATTGGTCTTTTTCCCTCCAACATGCCCTTTTTCAATTCATGACACTTTTTCTAAACTAATCTCTCCGCTACATTGATTAACTCATGTCTCTTTTAAAAAGTCCAACATGTAGGGTATCTTCTATTTTAAATTGCCTAAAATTGTTGAAATTCTTAGTAATCATCTAAATAATCTATATTTATGTTATTTAGTTTGGATTTTTCTAAATAACCTCTAGCATATAACCTCCTTATAACTGGTTTAGAAGATCTCTGTTATTTCTCAGTTTAGTTTGCTGACAAGTTCCAAGTATTCTCAGGAGTTGGAATAACCAAGATGTTTCCTGTAATACAACCAACTTCTTTGAAGCTCTGATTGCTGGTGGGGGTGGGGGAATAACAGGCAGGAAGCCAGATGTCACATACTATCTTTTAAATATACCTTCTTGAGCAAACCTATTATGGATGCTGAGGAATATTGTGGTGCTCGAGTTTCATTTGACAGTAGACTCATGTAATTTTGAGTCATGTTCAAAAGGCACTACTACCTTCACCAGTAGCTTTAGGTTGAGTAGGGAGCCTGCAGTATCAGAAACAGGACAGGATTTAAAATCAGAAGGCCGAGGGTCACCGACTTCTTTGACCTTCAGCTACCTTATCTATAAAATGGGAATAACCCTATCTATAATAACAATTTTGAGGATGATTAGAATATGAGTGTCAATGAAGTATACAAATGTTCTTCTTGGTAGTCATAAGATGCTTTGAAAAAAAGCGTGAAACCTTTGGGGGGAAGATATTTCATTTTAATTATAGACATTCTTTTGTGATTGTATATACTTAAGTCTAATCTGTCTATTATGCATGGAACAGCTTAAATTAGTAGGGGAAGGAAATATTTGAGAAGGTATGCCTAAATGGATCATAAGGGTGGACGCTCTCGACAATCAGAAGTCAGCATGAAGAACCGGGGTATCCATCTGGAAGCTAGAGGAATGGAAGGTGGGGAAATGGGTGAGAGGAAGGGGGCTGGTGTTTTAGAAAAAGTTGCTTACTTTTTATAAGCAGTAGGTGGTGAGCAAATACGATGATGAGCTTGAGAGTCAGATTTCTGGGCTTGAATTCTAACTTCTTTCCTTATTAGTTAAGTGACTTTGGGGAAGTTAATTTCTCTGAGGATATTATTATCCTCAGGAATAACAACAGTTCCTACTCTAAATGGTTGTTGCGAGCATTAGGTAACACATTTGTAAATCACTTAGCACTATAACTGGCATGTTGTAAATGCCTAATCAATGTTAGCTATTATTATTTTTGCCATATCAATATATTTCAAGAAGTTGAAAAAGGACTAGACAAGATAGAAAATAATGGTGAAGCGTACTGCAAACAACAACAACAACAAAAACACTTTTAAGTGGGATACTTTTACTCCTGTTTTGTTATTGGAACTACACATATTAACAGAGATCTGAAAATGAAAAGCCTTAAAATGAGACGTTACAGGACAACAAAAGTTAGTGAGCTCCAACACCGTAATTATAGAACATTGTCTCTAGTACTGTGATGTCCTTTACCTCAAGACACATACATGGAAATAAGATGGCTGTGTTTTACACAGGTTTTAAATAATGACCTCATTCAGCCAGTTTTTCTCATGCCCGTTGAGCAGAGCAGATCTTCATTTACAGTCTTTCATCATCAAAATCTTATTAGACTTAGGTTGCACTTATCCAGATAATCCAGACCCACAGAGGCATAAGTAACCGTTTGACATTAGAGGGAAAAAATTAGAAAATGGAAATGGTGAAAACTCCCCCCCATGACCAATTCAGTGAAACAGAGCGCTGTTGGGAGTCATTGAAAACTATACCACTGTCCTTGGTATCCAAACAGTGTTATGTAACTTAACTCACAGGAGGATTGAGATAAAAATAGAGATTTATCCCTTTGATTCTTGCGCTCATTGTTAAAATAAAATGAATTCAGGTGTTTTCATAACAAAGCGAGAAAAAGACACAAAAGAACTCCATGGGTCATTTACATGAAAGGCCATTATCTAACTTTGTTTTGGTAGAATTTACTTAAAATGATTTAATCAACATTGAAATAAACAAATTATTAAATTTGCATGAAATAAAGATATGTCAAACTATAAAAATAAAAAGTTTTAAGGATATTACTTCAACATATTTTTATTGGTTACAATGTAATAATCTTATCAAGCTCTATTTGAGGGCTGGAGGAAATCTTCAAACTCTTGATTTGTTAGCAATGTTCTGAATAATCTATTGAAATTTATTAAGGACAGTAAAGTTTAAAGCAAATAAAAAATTTTTAATTTGACTTATAAAACTCAAAACAGTATCTATAATCTGGTACTCATAGACTGTATTCAACAGTTATAAGATAGGTTTATATATTGTACTATGAATTTATTATCTATTATTGTAATTAGAAAGTGGTATCAGCTGTGGCATATTCAAATTTTTATTATAACATGATTTTACCACAACTGAAAAAAAATCTATTGTTAGATACAGCCTTGGAATAAGAATACGAGGCTAATCTCAAGTTCATTTACAATATTTAAAGAGAAATGCTTTATTTCAATATTTACATTTTAAATATATAAGAAACAAAGAAATACAGATATATTTCCAAGCTTTCTTTCCTAACCAACTTGAATCCTGAAATACGGATACTCTAAACATTTCAATTTTACACTGGCATCAGTAGTAACCTATCTATAAAGAATTAGAATATGTTGTAACTTAACTACAGTTAATTTTCCATATCCTCTCTAATGTGGGAGGGTAGTAAGAGAGGTAATTCCCAAATAATTATTTTACTTTGGAATACAATAGAAGTTTTGATTTATTTTCTTCTTTTTCTTTTCTACTTTCTCCTCTCCATCATATTTATTTCAATGTTTGAGTCCATTAATTAATTAATTTAGCAGCTTATAACTATAGTATGGATTGATTACAGCCCATGGTGTGCTAGTAAACTGGCAATTGGAGGGGAGCCGGAGGGCGGGCGGGGGGAGGAATAGCCTGATTTGTAGTGTTTGCCAATTTCTATGGTATTAACACTCCTATCATGGCCACTTCCAAGGTACCATGTTACAGAATGATGAGTTGGGAAGAGATGGGCAGAATTCGTTCTGCAGAGCCATAAAAGCCAGCTCCAGCACACCTCTGACAGAGCGATACACATGTTCAGAAGGTCTTATAATCATATCATATGATCTTTGAGTGTGAGAGCTGACTTGTCTTCTGATATTAAACCTCCCAAGATTTAGATTAAATTCAACATCTAATTAGCAGGTTGTGTCTAATTGTGAGAATTTCTAGCAGAGTTAAATGAGATTAAAGATAGGTTGGAGGCTGAGAGGTGGGTGGGGAGAAACAAGTGACGTAACTTAATTTGAAGCTAGGCCACAGTGGCTTATCGTGGGGACTTTAAGAGCTGGTGTCCCCAGTTGCTCTTACTCTTAGGCCATGAAAAGTAAAGGCTCACAGTAGTGCCTTTACTTTGTGCCTGTATAAATAATTACAGAATTACAAATTTCTAAAATATCTGTAAATGGAACGTCTATCACCACTTTATGCCTACAAATAATTCAAATTTAAAAGGTAATTTAAAAAGGTTAATTGCTCATCATAATTACATATTTATATGTCACAGACAGATTAGAGATAGGGAAAAATGCTGTATTTGTTTTGGAAATTTAAAATTGAGCACAAGGACAAAATGAACATTTCCAGGTGTTTGCCCTAGTCTAGAGGTATCAACTGAGTAACACTGTGTATATGGATAATAAAAGTTACATATGATTCCAGTTTACTGTTCCAGATATTTTTTAGGTGTAATTTTTAAGTCAAACTTTGGAAAAATAAGTGAAAAAAAGATAATGGAAAATACATCTCTCAGTATTTACTGAAAAGTCCTTTGTGGTAAGACTGATAGGCATCTCTAATAAAATCTTAAAACTTCTTAATTGGAAACATAAAATAGTGTTTATCTACAAGACATAGCCCATCTTTTAGGATGACAAATCCTTACGAGCAGTGGCATAATCAAAGTGGGATGGTGGAAGCAGTCTACCTGAGTACAACAATAAGGTGTGTGTCTCTACAAAATTCAACAATAACAATGAATAATGGTCAGGGTGCTTTTTTTGTTTTCTATGCACTGGCAATTCTAAACAATATCAAGGTGAAATCTTCCGCCCTTCCTTGACTGACTTGCTCATACCACACCTGCTCCACACCCTTCTCTTGGTAAGGTACTCACCATTAATATTAGGAAATTTAATTGTTTAAATCTACCGTAACTGTAAAGCATTAACTATCTTTTACCAAGTTAAAAGTTTCAACATTTCATGTATCATTGAAAATTGTAAGGTTAAAACAGTCAGTGAAACTGTATACTAAAACAGTATTTTAAATTTTCTGAAAGTGATCTTTCAGTAAAAAAATAACAACATTTCCTTTTAATGAAGTTGGAAAGGCATGCTTTCTACAATAAGCAAGTTGATTTAATATAGACTCTTATAGGTAACCCTGCAGCCCCTGCCAGCACAGTTGACATATTCAAATATACCATTTATATATAAAAATCATTGCTTTACTGGATTAAAAGAAAAACGATAAAATATATTTTTGGTTTCATCATTGTGACTCTAAAATGAAATGAGGACTAGATTAACAATATGGCAAATAGTACAATGACCTGGTTGAGGCTTAATTATACCTCTGCGAGGTCTGAAAAGAGCGCTTGGCTTGTGTTACGTCTCAGTGTATCCCAATAGCTTCTGGAGACAAGTTCCTCAGCATCTGTTTTAAGTACCTGTAGAAGTTTTAAGAAGCACAACTGAAATCTAAAGAATAGTCACAAAGAATGATAATTTATACACTTTAAATCTCTTCTAGCCAACCTTGAAAAGAAAACACATTAGCTTACCTTTTTTTGTTTTCTGCCGCACACAACAGTATCACATTACATTGCTGGTAAACCCAGGGTATTTTAAAGGTGTAATGGTATATAACCACTATTTCTAAGTACAATGTGGCTTTGTCAAAGAGAAGCATATTCTTCACCCCTTCCCCCATGTCATTCTACTGAAACATGCGTAACTTCTAAGAACGTGTGAAATAAAAATTGTATTCACACCTTACGTGAATTCATTTGTAGAAGAGTTTGGTAATTTTGTAGCAACCTATAAAAATCCTGTTTAATTTAAAAATGAATTATTGTTGGCTAGCATACATTGTGTTAGTGCATCATAGAATCAAAATGACCATATCCATACTTTAGAGAAAGAAAATTTCAACTAATCCAAAACTTGTCAAAAAGAAACATGCCAGTTTAAATCACTCAAAACTACTCAGGGATTTGATAGGAGTGTCTATTGTTAATAGATAAGGTATTTCTAATCTATTACAAGGACAGAACACTAGCTTCAAACTCAGTATTGGATAGTCTGGAAAAGGTGATATCAAGATTAAGAAGGGTAGTGTAATCTTGATATGAAAACATAGAACTATAAACTTAAGTGTTTATAGAGAGTCTATAAACATATAAGTTTATAGAAACTTGGGTAAACAAAAATAAGTAAAAGCAGTTGCTGTCAGGATTTATCAGGGAAGATTTCACAGGTTCTCAGGCTTGATGTTCTTATGGTTAACGTGAGAAAATAATACTGCATAATATACTTAGGAATGAGTGGCTGATGATAAGAGAACTTTTATTTGTGCATGTGTTAATTTTTAAAAGTCCAATGCCATTAATAAAATTATAATGCATCTGAGAATTACTTCAAAGATCTGTTTTAATTCATTATTAACTAGAAAATACTGTTTACTTCCCATATTTTAATAAAATCTTTTTAAAAAGACAATAATATAGTAATTTAGCAGGAATCACTTATATAACATAGACATATTTATTATTATAAATGTAGCAATATGACAGAATCCACTCATCACCCTCTTTATTAATTAAACTTTGACTAAACATTTATAAACTAAATAAGTATAATGAGCTGAATATAGAACTAACACAGCTCATTTTCTTTTATATAGGAATGGTAGAACTTCAATAAATGGTAGCTAGGTTATAAATACTCTGCAAATATTATCTAAATATTTTGAATGTGGATATACTTTTAAATTATAACTTAGAAAGTTAGTATATGATAAAAAAAGGAATTATTAGACCTATCAAACTAGAAAATAAGGCTTACTATACTATTATTAGGAGGGTAATGGGAATGATTTGCTTTGTGAGGCCATGCCTCTTGCCTACTTCCAAACACTCGTCACCATCTCTCTCTAATCTCTCTCTCTCTCTACAGAAAAAATATATTTTCTGAACATAGAAAAGAGGTAAATATGCTCAAATATATTGATTACCTTTGAATGGTGGCATTAGAATATTTTTTATTTTCTTCTTTTTACTTTCCTATATTTTAAAATATTTTAAGAATGTATATTTATCTATCAGGATAATATGCAACTTTTTAAATAAAAAAGTCTTATTTAGAATACAACAGCTTACTAGTCCCCTCCTACAGAAAGCTATCCAACTCTTAATTTAGCTCCAAAGATGGAATTATGATAGTATACATAATAGATACATAATAGAATTGCTTCAAGTGGCTATATTTGTTTTTGTTTTATCTTATACAGTCTTTTATAATGTTTATGAGAGAAGAGACATATTCTCACAGCAACTATGTCATGCCTTGTATTAAATAAATACATGATACATAACCAACAGAAAAAATAGCTAATATATCGGTGATTTTCTTGGCAATACATAGATTCCTATATATACATGTGTCTGTTAAGGAGCAAGTATTTAATTTTTAATTAATGACTTGGATGATGAAATTAAGAGTAAATTTTCACAACATGCAAAACTAATAGAAAACTTTAATACCAGAAAATATAATAGGATATTTAAAATAAACTTCAGGTAGCCATAAAAATCAGAATAGATTGCAATAGCAAGAAATGCAAAGCAAATACAAAACCACAACATATGCATACAGGCTAAGGGAAGACTGATAGGGGAAAATGCCCCAATATAACTGAGCACTGTGATGGTTATGAAACAGGTATTAGAATGTTTGATATGTACTATAAATAGTGGAAAAAATTGCAGACTTCTTGAAGTCTTCTTAGTGTCTTTGATTACTATATGAGCTTTAGGCCTCCTTATCAGAGTATACATTAGGTGTAAACCTTTATTAAAGGAGGTAAAAGAAGAAATAGATGGTCCAGAAGAACTTTAAAATGGATGGCACAGTCATAATGATGTCCTGAATGTACTGTCTACTGTAAGTTTGATATATTTTTAGCCTAAGTTTAGTCTGTAAATAGTAGACCTTCCCTAAACTTTGAAGTTTTGGTCAAGCGTTCCCTATGCATTTTTGGCTGACCCAAAATAGGATCCTATTCAAGACATTCTGTGATACTTACAATAGGAAGGAAGGAAGGAAAGAAGGAAGGAAGGAAGGAAGGAAGGAAGGAAGGAAGGANGGAAGGAAGGAAGGAAGGAAGGAAGGAAGGAAGGAAGGAGAGAAGGAAGGAAAGAAGGAAGGAAGGAAGGAAGGAAGGAAGGAAGGAAGGAGGAAGGCAGGGAGGGAGGGAAGGAATGAAGGAGCTATAGTCTGAAAAATTCATATGTTGATATCCTAACTGCCAAGGTGATGATATTAGGAGGTGGCGGGGCGTTGGAGAGGAGATTATGTCAGGAGTGCAGAGCCTTCATGAATGGGAACCTCTTGTAAAAGAGGCTCAAGAAACCTCCCTTGCCCCCTTCTACCATGTGAGGACACAGCAAGAAGGTGTCTTCTATGAACCAGGAGGTAGGCCCTCATCAGCCACCACACGGAATCTGCTGGCTCCATGATCTTGGACTCCCCAGCTTCCATAACTGTGAGAAATGTTTGTTCTTTATAAGCCACTCAGTTTATGGTATTTTTGTTACAGCAGCCCAAATGGACTAAGGTAGAAGGAAAGAAGAAAGCATGAAAATAAAAGAAAGTAAAGATGGAAGGAAGAAAAAAGGAAGGAAGGAAAGAAGGAAGGAAGGAAGGAAGGAAGGAAGGAAGGAAGGAAGGGGAAAAAAAGGAAGTTAGGAAAAAAGAGGACTAATTTAGAGATGGGAATAGATCACTGTGGTAAACAGAATAATAGCTCCCTAAAGTTGTCCATGCCCAATCAGACAAATACCCTATATACAGTTAGGGTGTGAGAAAGGTTTGCCTACTCAGAGAGAAGGCAAACTATGAAAAAAAAACAAAAAAGCAGCAGCCCATAGAATCAGATAGTAAATGGTCGTTACTATTAGTGATATTTAAAAACACACAGAGAAAAAATAAAAACAAAGAAATGAAAGAAAGCTATATCTTTATAATCTGTGCCACTATGACAACTGTGGCCTGAAATACTATAATCTGAGAATTTAATTTAAAGTTTCATGGAACTGTAGTTCCCGTCAGGGTGTTATAGACACACACACACACACACACACACACACACACACACACACACACAATCTTCCAGGAAAAACATACCCTTAAACCAGTTCTTAAATAATCCACACAGATGCATTACAACAAATACATACATACTCACAACACAAAATTACTAAACACAAAAGAACATAAGCTATCATAAGTGAGAACCAGCAGAAATAACAAACAATAGAAACAGACATTCAGACTTCAGATATTCAAATTATTAGATATGGAATACAAAATAAGTTTAAGCTTAAAGAATGTGAAGCTGTTTTGAAAGGATTTTTCAAGAAAAACAGACTACCAAGAATTATTAGGCTGATTAGAAAAAAACAATACAAATAAAACTTCTAGAAATACAAAAAATGGAACCACTGAAATTTAACATCATATTAAATATAGCTAGAGAGGGAATTAGTGAACCAAACAATAATATGAATAAATTATACAGAATACAATGTGAAAAGATAAAAGTATGGTAAATTATTAAAGAGAAGTTTAGAGACATAGAAGACAGCATGAATATCTATGAAAGTAATAATAGAGAAAATGGGAAGAGACAATATTCAGAGGTACTGGCAGTGAATATTCAAGAATTAATGAAAGAAAACCATCTTCATATTATTTGAGAAGCTAATAAATTTCATGATAGATAAGAGCAAAAAGAGACATATTACAGTAAAACTGTAGAATACCAAAGGCAAATGGAATCTTAAAAGAAGCAGAAAGAAAAGAGATTAGCTACAAGAGAATAATAGTTAGACTATTTATTTCAACAACAGAAGCCAGAAGACTGGGATGATATAATTTGCTGAGAATGAATGTCAACCTACAACATATCTAATAAAACTTTCAAAATAAGGGCATCTATACATATATTGAATCATTATGTTGTACACTTGAAACTACTATGTTATATGTAATTATATTTCAATTCTTAAAAGTAATAAAAATTTTAAAAACCCAAATTCATAGAATCATAACAGATTGGTGGTTGCCAGAGACCAATGGGAGTAGTGGTGGAAGTAGGGAAACGGGTGAAGGTGGTTAAAAGGTACCAACTCCCAGTTATAAGATAAATAAGCTCTGGGGATGTAATGTACAGCATGGTGACTATAGTTAACAATACTGTATTGTATATTAAAAGTTGCTAAGAGAGTAGATCTTAAAAGTTCTTTCACAAGAAAAAATATATGTAACTATTAGATGTGATGGATGTTAACTAAACTTATTGTGGTCATCATTTTGCAATATATACATATATCAAGTTATATTGTACACCTTAAACAAATACCATGTTTTATGTCAATCATATCTCAATAAAACTGGGGGGAAAATAAGGGCAAAATAAAGACAGTTCCAGAAAGAGGGTTTTTTAAAAAAGTTTACCAGAAGACCCTCACTTGGGTATATACTTTGTGAGTATAAGCTTATGAGATTTAGGAAAGGGTGAGAGTAAAGAGGGAATTAGTGAGTAAAGAGTATCAAATATGTAAGTAATTCTAAATAAACATTGATGGCATATATTTAAGAAGCCTAATTTGTGGATTAAAAAAAAAAAACCAAAGATAAACATTGTGCAATTTGAACTCATACCAGGAAGGGAATGAAAGATATTTAAGTATTTTAGACTATTTTTAAGAAAGAGAGTAAAGATATGGCCTAATTTAAGATTGTATTATTTTAAGTACACTTATTAAAATTTCAAGAATAACTACATAGAGAATAGAAATATATGTCTTCTAAACTAACATAGAGGAAAATAAAGGGGAAACATAATCTTCAGTTAATTCAGAAGAAGGTAGGAAAGAAGTATACAGAATGGGTAAAATAAATCCAAAAATAAATCCAAGTAAATTAGTAGTCACAGTAATGTAAATTGACTACATTTTCCAATTAAAGAGCAAGATTATCAACCCAGATAAATAGAAACAAATACAGAAAATATGCTTATAAAAAAGATACACCTAAAAATATAAGGAAAAAGAGGATGAAAAATATGTTCAAGGCTTCTTTTAATAAAAGGCTAGTAAATATCATTATTTTGACTTTGATACTGTGTTGCACAATGGTGCAAAAGCAATGGTGGGGAAAATTGCTGAAGCCTTAGTATAATGACAGCAGTGGCACCAAAGACCAAAGCCATTACTTTCTTCAGTTCCATATAACCATACTAAAAAAATTAAAAAGTTTCACTTAAGAACGTACTCACTGGAGAACAAACTTATAATGTTGTTAAACTGACCTTGAGCACACATTTTTTAAATATTTGGTGTGATGAAACTGGAAGTATGTATAAGGCACTTCTGCCTACTGAAGTAATGTGGTTGTCTTTAGAAAAAACATTTGTGTGATGGTTTGTACGAGTATTGCAAAGTGAAGTAGCCACTTTTTTCATGAACAATCATTTTTATTTGAAAGAACAGCTGACAGACAGTCTATGGTTGTTCAGACTTTGGTATTTGGCAGACATTATTTTGAAAAAGAGCCAAGTGAGCCTGTCACTCCAAGGGAAATGACTGATTGTATTTGTTGCCAAACTAACATACTGCAACAGATTGAATGCAGAAGCATCTATGAGGAGCCTGCTGTCCTCTGCTAAGCTAGACATTAAAGAGATTTGCAAAGAATGTAAAATACCACTCTCCTCACTACATTTTTAAGTTATTTTTTATAAAAAAATGTTTATGTTAACATGTGAGTTTTTAATTTTAAAAATGAATTAATAAGTATTTTTAAATTTCTTAGTTTTAATTTCTAATATGGTAAATATAGATAGATATAACCAATATAAAAGCTCTTTTGGGTCCTCAATAATTTTCAATAATGTAAAGGGGTCCAGAGACCAAAATGTTTGAGAACTGCTACTTACAGTAATAAAAGTGAATAAACTAGGACTAGATACAACAATGAAAATGAAATGGATAATCATAATGTTGAGTCAAAGAAGCAAGACACAGAAAAACTCATAACATAATCTCATTTATATGAAATATAAAAATGGGTAAAACTATGTTGTTTATGGTGCATATAAATATGTGGTAAAACTGTAAAGCAAAGAAGTGATTTACATTGTTATGATTGTAGTTATCATTTAGGAGAGAGGGAAGAATTATGATTGGAGAGACATAAGGGGTGTCTTATGGCATGGCAATGGTTATTTTTTATCTATATGGTGGTGAAACTTTTATTATTTATTTTATTTACATTTTATTTCTAGTATATTTCTGAACTAAAACTATATTTTAAAAATTGGAATGCTTCATCATCAGTAGATGAAAAAACAGAAAATAAAAAAAACATAAAGCAGAAAAATAACACAAAATATTAGTAAAAATAAAGGTATATATTTATTCTAACAACAAAATAGATTTTAAGGCTAAAACATTATTTCTAGAGATCTAGGGATAATATATAATAGAAGATTCAATGCATTAAAAAGACATAAGTATATTTTTATATAGGCAATGATGCTTCAAAATATAAAAATAACAGAAGTACCCGTAGAAATTGACAAGTCTATCACTGTAATGTATAACTTAACATACTAACTGACAGATCAAGCAGACAAAAACATTTGTAATGATAGAGATTTAAAACATATACTTAACATGTTTGATCTAATCTATCTATCTATCTATCTATCTATCTATCTATCTATCTATCTATCTATATGTATCTTAGAAATATAACTCTGTACCCCAAGTTGGAGAATACACAATTTTTCAAATATAGGTCATTTATGAATATTGACATTTTTTAGTCCATAAAACAAGTCTCAACACATGTCACAAAACAGTATAAAACTTGGTACATTTTCTGACCACAATGGAAATAGGACAATTAAGATAATCTTTACAAAACTTTAAAAAGTCACATATGACATACCAAAATCAAATATAATTGACTTTTACATTCTTTATTCTTTTGAATTTTTTATATTTCTTTTCATTACTGCGGTAAGATAATTAAAGTTGACTATATGAAAAATATGGAAAAAATCAAAGAGTTGCTTGTAACAGAGAAGGTTATTAGGTAACTAGCTTCATGAATAATAAAGCAAGAAATGCAACAAGAAATAATTTGACAGAATATAGGCATAACCTACTGTAGGAGTGATTAAATTTTGGAACAGGCTACTACAGAAGCCACAGAATCTTACAGTATAAGTCAAGAGGGCCTCTGCCTTTACTGAGAACTTCTTCTTAAAGGCAGCATCTAGGCTACATTCAGCTCCATGAACTGTACTGAAATTAGATACTTTTTCATTCCAGTTGATCTACAACTCTAGGAGTTAGCAGATAATTACTAGTTAATGCATAACATTATACTGATATATTTGTATAATAACTATACATCATATTTTTTCACATAAATTTTCAGGCTGTCTGAATTGTTTTTTAATTTTAAATAAAATTTCCTTACATTTTTTTAAAAATTATTTATGTGTTTAAAGGAAAAATATAAATTGCCATAGTTGGAAAATAGCTCATGCAATATGACATATTAAATTAGAAAAATAAATAATGAAGTCATAAGTATTAACATTTATTAAGTTTCATTGGGCATATGGCATAATTTTTATCTTGCACATTCTTATAGATTTTTTAAATGATTAACAGGAATCTTTTTAAAATTTTAAGAAAATGATAGATTTTATTTAATAGAAAACAGTAGTGAATATTATAAAAAAATTTTAAAGTATCTCATAAGGGATCAAAACAATTAGCCCATCATATGGGTCCCATGGACTTGGCTTGTTTTCCAACCCATTCTAGGTCCATTCCTTGTGACTTGGGCAAGATATCTTAGGTTTATTTTATGCTGAATTGGCTTCCCGCATATATCTTCACATCTAGAACAGAATTAGGTTTTATAGTTTGGACTTTTGATTATCCAATACAGGAAGAAGCACAGCTACTTTTAGTGTTGTACAGCATAACTGAACACTTTCAGCAGGATAATGCTGAATCAGTCACCCTGAATTCAAGGGCTTCCCTCAGGTGGACTTAGCATAATTTGAGGGATCCTTCTTCTAACCTTGGAGAAATTAAATGAACTGTGCATGTTTGCAAGTACATTCAAATGGGGTCAGGGCTTATTCTTAGTTGTTTAGTAGCTGGCTAACCAACAAGCTCCAATTTTCCCAGAGAAAGCAAAGAAGAAAAAGCTTAGCATGAGAAGAGTACATTTGGAAGATCATTTGTAGGAACTCCCAACTTTTCGAGGAAAAGGAGAGTCTGAAAATCATAATCCTCTTTGAGAAATATCATGATACATTGATCTATTAAACATACCAAGTGCCATCTTACACCACTTTTGTATAGACCATAAAAAATTGGCAGGCATCAAGGTTTTGGAAAAAAAATGGGTGAAAATACTGAAAACTAAGAAGTTTATCCATTAATATACCTCTTTATTAAAATTGAGAAAAGAAAGTATCACATAGATAGCTCTAGTTCTTAAAATATCTGAGTTCTGCAGGAGTATAGCCTGAAAATCTGTTCCATGATTTGCATTTAACTTTTCAAATACTGCTGAAAATATAAAATTTCAATTGTTTTATCAGAGTTTTTAGTTGTTCACTCATCTTTTCCTTGTTTTAATCTGAATTTAAAGATATATAATTACTCTATAAATTTTAGTCATCTCATAAATCTAGGAAAGAAATACAAAAGGTTGTACCGTATGATTGTCAATAAATTCCTAAACATTTTCAATAGCAAATACAGCTTTATATAACAAAATAACATTATCAAGTATAACAGGTGAGGGCTATTTACATAAAGAACATTTAAAGTATTGTACATACACTATTAGTAGGTGAATGGTATCCATAAAGTTGAAGACGCTGACATAGAGCACAAAGGGCCAAATGAAGTGTCACATTTCAGAATGAACCGAAGTATCGCAAAAGAAAAAAGAAAAAGATGACAAAATAATCAATTAGGACGGGCAAATCATTATGCTACATTCTATATAGAGCACACACACAATACAAGTGGGATAAATGTTAAAGATGAGTAGCAAAGTTTTTAAAATCTCATATAATTAAACATTAAATGAATCTGTGCTCATTTCAACCATTTTCATTGTAACTTTCTGATAGAACTACTGCTTTGAATAATATGCTCCTCTGAAGCACGCCGTTTTATTTAGACACACTTCAGCAATTCTATAGAGATGGGGGAAAATCTAGATGTAGCGGCAATGGCAGTGGGAATGGTATGAGACCTGCGGTGGAATCTTGTTCTCCTTTTATTAGTGTTACAACCATAGGCAAGTTAACGAATCTAAGATTTTCTCATTTATAAAACAGGTATGATACTTACCTGGGAGAACGTAATGAGGACCAAATGGGAGTAACATTTATAGTGGCTATGGCAGAGTGCTCAGCACATAAACATTGCAAGAAATGTTATGTTCATTTCCCTGTTTCCTTCTAAAGCAGTTTTATTTTGGTCATTTTTAAAAATTTACTTTTGATTTAATTTTGATGTAAATATTCGATTCAAAGTGGTATGTGGCTCTACTAATTAAAAGAGAACTTTAGGTTTTACAATTAGTTAACCTTTTTGAGTGTTATTATATTTCATGAACGTACTGTTGACTAAATGTTTTAGTTCATTTAACCCCATAGCAATTACATGTGGTCATTACTCCTATTATTCCTATATACAAATGAAGAAACTGAGGCACAGCGAGGTTAAGGACCTTGCTCAAGATCACCTAGGTAATAATGAATTGGCAGAGCTAATTTGCAAAAGAAACAATTACCATTTACATGCCAACAAAATTCACCGTGTTTCTGCTATCTAAGTATTAGATGAAGAAATATGCTGGAGTGGGTAAAAACGTAGATTTTGGAGCTGGCCAGCCATGGGTTAAAATCCTGGCTTTGCCATTTAGTAGCTATGTAATTTTGACAAAATACTTAACCTTTCCAGCTATTAGTTTCCTCATCTATAAATACAGATAATAAGAGAACTGTTGGGTAGTGTAATTGAGAAAATGCATGCAAAGCATCCAGTATAGTGCCTGATAGTAAGGTTTCAGTACCTGGTTGTTATTTTTTATTATGTGAAACTGGGATATTGTCAGGTGAAGTACTTGGGACAAGCAAAAAGAAATCTGGTAGGAAAATGTAGTGAAATGTTGCTTAACTCTACCTTCAGAATTATATGAAAACATCACTATCCCAGAAGAATCTATAATCTACATTTCTAAGAATGCAAAAAAAATATTATTTCCTTGTTTTTGCTTCAACATTCATATTGTTAGAGTACCACTAAATTCACTCACATGTGTAATTAAATCTTTGCAATTCACCTTTAAATTTTTACATGCATAATGATGTATATTAATCTATTATATGATATACCCTTCAAATCTCATGGGTAACAACAATATGAATAAAAATGATTTAATGAATGTAATATGGATACAGATGTTTAATATCAATATTTGATATAAATATTGATATTGATGCATATAAATACTGAAGCAATTTTTCTACATAAGGACTTTAGAAAGTTTTCAAGAAAGGGACAGCTCCAAAGTTACAGACTATTGTTTTTCAACATGAATAAAGTAATTCTCATCTAGAAAACCCATCTGAAACTACTATAAATTATTCTTACCAGCATTGCACGCTTTTCTTCATCTCCTTTAGTTTCTCTCTTTTCATTTTTTTTCCTGAATATCTCTTGAAGCTGAAAATGAAACCAATCAAGAATCAAATATCAAGCAAGGGTTTCTGGGTACCTACCTACCACCCTATGCTAGGTACATTCTGAAAACAAAGAAATTAGTTAGCTTCATCCATGAATGACATTAAAACTACTATAGATATATTTTCTAATACCAATTTTCTTTCCTGAGAAAAATACATCCTTTGTTATTAGCAATCCACGGTTAAGTTAAAAGTACAAAATTATAGTTTTACTTTATCTCTAAGACACACAGACATGGAGCCTGTGACACACACATAAAACGGGATGAAGCCTACTGAGGCGTAAGGATCACTGGAACAGAACTCAGGGTCTCTGGGTTTGAGCCCATCTTTAGTCACACACAAACTTTGTGGTGAAGCTTTCACTCAACCCTCTCTGGGCTCCAATTTGCTCATAAATGAAATGAGGATGGACCAGAGGGCCCGGAAGGTCTTTTTCCGGTAACTGAGCATTGTGGTGGGAACATAGACTCTGCACACACGTATAGCCCCTTGAGCAAGTTACTCCAATTACTTAGGGCTTGTTTTCCACATCAGGAACATGGAGATAATGCTTTACCTTATAGGAAATTCTTTTTCTCCAGCTTTATTGAGGTATGATCGACAGGTCTTATAAGAATGTTGTGCAGAGTAAATATTACAAGTAATTAGCACACTGACTGTCACATGGTAACTTTTCAATAAATGTTAGCTATTATTATAAATGGTATTAATTGCTCTTTAAAATCCTACTTTACAAATGGAAACCTAATCCTGCCTCTATTAAGTTTTCTGGTGAGGTCATTGTGTAATATGAACAGATATCTCAACTCTTCGTTTTGCTTTGTATGGCAATAGTTGAAAGTCATATAAAATGCTATTACCTCCCAAAATATGCGATAACAATTAAAAATACAGTATAAAATTATAAATGATTTATTAACGCATACATTTATTTCCACAGTGTTTCTGAGCAAAAAGCTTTTTTTTTTTTTTTTTAGCAAAGGTGATTAATAATCACTTTATAAACAGGTATGAGAATCATAGTTTTTAGGCCTCTACAAATAATAGCCCAACTCCACCTTTTGCTTTCAGGAACTCTTTGCTATTTACAAACAAAAAACAAACAAACAAAAACCATCACATATGAGGAAGCAGTACAGCCACTGCAGAGAGCAAACCACTGCTTTAAAGCAAGGGCAGCTTTCATAAGAGCTCCCTCTCTCCACAAACGGACAGTATTCCAAAAGACATCTATACAGGCAACTTCCAAAAGTTGACTGAGTTCCTTCCGAAAGTCAATCTTTAAGTCAGTGGGGTGGAACTTGGCAGTGTTGCCATAGAAAGCTTACTGAAAATCATTTAGATTACTAGGCCCATGAGGAGAGCCCTAAAATACAGGTGTACACTAACAGAACAAAACTGTATTAAAAACTACATCTGTCCATTTTAGGATGTGAGGAACATATTTCTATCATTCCAATGAACTGAAAACTCTCACCTCCCTACATCCTGAAAGTCACTAGAATGAGGGGTCCTCTCTGTTGCAGCTCCAATGGCTTGGCTCAGGGGCTGTACACAGCTACGGTCTACATGGGTATTAGATTAAGCCTTTTGCGAGATACTAGTAATTACACTGCTTGCTGCCTTTTGAATGACTACTAATTAGCTTTAAATGAGGATTTTTATCTCTTCTCTTTCCTACCATGGAAAAGAGTGATTTCATAGTTTCTCTTCCATGTTCTAGTGTCTGAAAAAAATACTAAGTTGTTGAAGAGGTTTTCTGAGGAATTTTTAATGGCTTGTTACAAAGGAAAAATAGAAAATAAAATGGCTATTTATGTCATCTTTCCCTTTTCTTTTTACTAGGAGAGTATAGGTGAATACAGAGTTGAACATAAATGCTAAAGTTAAACCTTGTTAATATAAGGAATATATTAATGTTAATCTCTATTTTGGAAGAAAAAAAACCCCCAGAATACCGTATTTCCCCATGTGTAAGATGCACCCTTTTCTGAAAATTTTGGTGTCTAAAAACTGGGTGCATCTTATACAGTGGTTGTATGAGCACAAAAACAAGCGCGAAAAAAGCAGTAAATGCAAGTAAAAAATATCTACAACCACTGTATAAGACGCACCCAATTTTTAGACCCCAAAGTTTTCGAAAAAGGGTGCAACTTATACATGGGGAAATACGGTAGGTATTTTGCTTCAGAAGTAGATGCAGGCTACATGGGTAAAAGAAATTTAAAAATTCTGAAAGGCGGGTGCGGGTGATAAGATGAATGAGCAGCTGATGATGCTGCCAGACCAGCACCAATGCTGGACCAGTCAGGTGAGAAAGATGGAAAGACAAATACCTAACAGCAATCTTACTACTTCCACTTTAGATCAGCCTTTGGTCAAAGACAGATGGGAACAGAAAAATGGGAACAGGACTGGAATATAAGGCAGTAATGAGTGAGAGAAAAAAGGAAAAACAAAAATCATAAATCCTATAATGAGAAGAAAGGGAAGTTCCTGAGGCAGAGTTGTGGTTAAGTGGCTGAAATGATGGGGATTGAGTATTAACAGGGCAGGTAAACACCTCGGGATTGCCTGTATCCACCCAATGGAAAAATCCGACACATTTTAAACTTCTAGAAAACGTGTAAACGACTATAATCATCTTTATATACTGAATATCATTTATATTCTTACAATGGAAATATTATTCAAAGTAGTAAGAATATACTTATTTATTAAATTAATGTGAAAACATAAAATTTTCACTTTCTTCTACGAAAGTATTCCAAGTAATGCAAAAACATAAAAATATAAATAAGCAATATTTAATTATGGATAAAATGCAGCATAGCATATACATACCACCAAAAACTCCTTTTTATCTACCATCTCATTGCCATCAGTGTCAAACATGTTGAAAGCTATTCTAAAGCCTGCATGTGGCTCTGCCAGAAAAAACAGAAAAGCATTTGTGAAGTGCAAAAATGTTTTCAAAGAATAAAATCCATATTAGCCGTGAACAGTTATTCATAGTCTGTACAGAAATACTTTCCTTAATGAAGAAATTAAAAGGAATATGTTACTATTATTTAAATTTAATAAGATATATAAGTATACATATTTCTGCTTCATATATTAGCTCATTTAGAAACAGAATTGATAATACACTTTAAAAGTAGTTGTGTGATACTTGTTGCATAGCACTGAAAGTAAAATTTGACTACCTTCCTTCCAAAAATAAATATTTCTTTTCCTTATCCAAAGTTTGTCAGTTTGTTTAAAAGGAACATATCAGCTCATCACATATGAAATATTTTCAGTATGTTCAATTACTAAGAACAGAAGAAAAAAGAAAAATATGACACAATGGACCAGTCCAAATTTTTGGGAAAATTATAATGGAAATGATCCATGAAAATAAATTTCAAGCATGAGAGATTACATATTTGAGTTTAAACTTCTAGAAGTTTCAAAAACAGAAATATAAAATAAAAGAAACTTGAATAATTCCCAATTCCCCCCAAAATACAAGCAAGTATTGCTTTTCTCAGAAAGACAAACTTTCACACACTATGAACTGCTTTAATTTTATGAACTCTATAATGAGGTTCAACCCCTTTCCTCTTTTCACTTCTAAAGCATAAAGAAGAAAATTTGGACAGAAGCAAACTTGAATGTGTCCCTCAAAGAGGAGTTCAGTGTACATGATTTTTTTTTTTCTTCAAAACATTTGACCTACTCTTTTGAGATGACTGGCAAAATGTTAAAAATGGGACCTCCCACAGACACACTTGCCATTACCTGTTTGGAAGTCTTAACCTAGCAAAAGAGAAGCATATAGACCTACTTTATTAACCAGTAACAGCTGTCTCTGAAAATAGAGGAAACGGAAGCCAGTCTTTTATGGAAGTTCATTTCTTGCATGTACTTTAGGAATCTAAACTTACTTTCATGATTATTCACTTGAGAAAGAAACAAAAAGTTATATACCATGTCTGATAATCAAGTTTTAAGCTTTAAAAAGATCTTGAAAATACACCTAGAAAGGATGTCCTTACAAGCACTGTTTGGAAGGGAAAATAAAGTTAAAATAATAAAAAGTAGAGGAGAAAACTATAGACAGGTAACAGATTATCTAACTCACTTCCTGCCAGCTCTCTTTCACACTTTTCTTGGTTTTCATCTAAACAACATCCATGATTTTAAAATTCAAACTCGTAGAAGTTTCTAAGACGGGTCCAAAAAAAGATTCACAGCATACAAATATTCTAACCTTTCCATAGAAAGCAAAACCCACCATATGTATTTTTCCCAACACCCTTAAGTCATACCCTGTCCTGTCTGAACAAGTGACTTTCTTAACCAGTTCCATTTTATTCTAACCTATCACTGCTGGGTTAGGTACTTATGACTTCAAATTTTGCATCCAAAGTTGTTCTAACTAACAAGATGACTTTTTAACAAGTCTCTGAGACACTCTTTGGTACCCCCTCCACTAATTTTCATAGTGGCATTCATCATTGATTGGACTCGAATCATCATAGTTCTTGTTTCTATACATCTCCACAAATCCCCACAATTGGAAATTCCACTAGCGATATTTTCAACCATTCCTTTTTTCATTCATTTATGGACTGCTTGGAGAGGCTACCACGTGTCAGACACTGTTCTTGACACAGAAATGGACAAAAAAGATAAAATCATTCCCATCATGGACCTTGCATTCAAGTGTGGTGAGACCGACAAGAACATGTAAACCAATAAACAAACACTTTCAAATCATGTGGGTACTATGAAGAAGATAAAACATTGTGAAGGGATAAAAAGAGAGAGAGATGGGAGAGGGAGCTATATTAGGGAGGATGATCAAGTAAGGATTCTCTAAGAATTCACATTTCAAAGGAAACCTGAATGATGTTTATTATGACGAGGCTGTTGAGGCAAAGCACTTACGCAGAGGGAGCAGAAAGTACCATTTCCTGAGGTGGGAATAAAGGGACAGAAAGGTCAGGTGGCTGCAGTATAGTGGACTAGGGCATGTAAGTTCCACCATTACGCGAAATGAAATTTAATTGAAAACCTTAGTAAATGCTTCATATACGTAGTTCATGAAAACTGCTGCATATGAAAGGAAGAGAATAACAAAACCGTTTTAGGATGTATCATGGGTATTCTGATAGACTCACTAGTTAAAAGCCTCATTCTTTCACACTAGTCTTGCTGAGAATGTGATTTGAATGAGTAGGAAATTTACAAATCACTACATGTCCTGAACTTTAGGCTCTCAGGTAGATTAAACCACAGGGATTGATAAATGATATTCATTTACAACTTATGAGCATTTTACTACTATACTGTAAGCCATAATATTTATAGTTTTGACTCTTGTTATGCCATGCTTACCATTTTCCGTGGGCATTTAGACATGAATTTTGCAAAACTGCATGGATAGATCTACAGTGATTTTTAATAGTAAGAGAATCTCAGAATGATTTGTTTTCCAAGATTCTGATTAAAAAAGATAATTGCATCCAGAAATATATTTAATGCGAACTTACTTGTTAAAATACATAAAAGAAAAAGATATTCTGTGTAAGAAATCACACCTAGAAAAAAAAACAGTATTAGTTATGCTATATAAAAAATATTATCTTTTCTTATCAAGTAAAATATTATTCTTATAACAGTAATAAGTAATAGTAATAATAATAATAAAGGACTTAAACTTTTAAAGAATATGTTAAATATTGTTTTAAATGAGACTAAACTGTTATTATAAATGATAGCAAAAGAAGCAATAAAATTAATTTTACTTTGTTTCACATGTTTTTGTAGAAACCCATATAAAATTCCCATTAATGATTCCAGATATAGTGGCAAAAAACATCAAAATTATAATGTTTACTCATGGCTGTAATTCTTAAACTTGTTGCTAGTTTTCAGTACACAAATCTAACAAAATAAAAAAGTTGGAAATGGTTAACACTGTGAAGTACTTAATTACCTCTTAGTAACACCTGAATAAAACATTTAGACATTCTTGCTTAGAATTTTGATTTCTGTATTACATTCAAAAGACAAAACTCTATAGTTATCCCTTTTCTGCTTTCAAGTTATTATTATTATTGACAAACTTAATGCGTCTTAAATGTAATCTAAGAAGTTTTTATTTTAATTGAATTGAATGGCTTATACTTTCTGTGTATTGCAGCCTGAGATTTCTGTAACCCCAGAGTTACAAACTTTAAAAGGAGTTTGTTTAGAGTAATTAAAAATATGCATTCTGGTACTCAAATTCTTGTTTTTGGACTATAATACACCAGACTAGAATTAATGCCTTCATTGCCTTGCCGAGTGGAGCCTGAGAAAATTAAAATCAGAAATAAGCCAATAACACTTACCCAGATATCAGATAGTCCTGATGTCTGGGAAGAGGGTATAAAAAATCCTTACATAATCAGATTGTGAACTTTAAACCTCCATTTTACCTGATGCTCTTTGAGGCTACCCTCTTTGTTACAGAACAAAGAGGAGTCACTGTCAGGCAGTTTGTCAGAAGGGAACAAGTCAGGAGGCCCTGAAAGCATTCCCTTCTTTTGTTTATACTAGAATATTGTGACCTATAGACATAGTTCTGGTTGATTGCCATGAATGTTATGGGAGAAAGATTCTAGAACCGTCAATGTATATAAAGATACAATACTTAGATTCCATAGGGATCCCTCAAAAAAAAAAAAAGGAGAACAAAAAGAAGAAAGAAAAAGAAAGCATAAATGCAGGAAGAAAAAAGGGAAATGGGATTAGGAATTGGCTGTTTCCACAATCCCAGTTTACTGGCTGTTTTTCTAATTGGTTTGGTGGAATACACCACAGAGATGTTGGTTGGTATGAAAAAGTTTAATAACTGCTATATATCTTTTATTTGATAATTAACTGAAGATTTTGTTCACTTAAGGTTACTTAACAGTGAGAGTACTGCTCATCATTTCCAATGGTAGGCACTTGTCTGTAGGACTAAATGGTCTTTAAGGTCGTGTGATTCACAGAGAAGGAAAACAAAGTGATACATGATATAATTATAATAGTAAAAATGGTTAAGGAAAAGAAAAAATACTATTAAACATAAAATGTGGATTCTTAAAGCTTTCCAAAAAAATATGGAAAACTATTACACTAACTCTTCAATTTATGTTAAGACCACTTAGGGTAAAAAATAAAATAATAAATGCTAAGCATATAGTAATGCTGCAATCTTTAGAAAAAGAGGATGCAAAGATGTTAACTAGGTTTCTTTTGAAAATTCAATTTTAAAAAATTCTAAGGGAAGTCCCTTAAAAGCATTACACTATTTAGTTCCTATATTATGATATACTACAGTTGGCTGTTATAAGTAAGACTATGTTTTAAAAAATGTTGTATACCAACTAATTTTTTGTAAAACTAAGTAACATTTTCTTATTGGGTAATATTTTAAGCAGACAAAATTCATTTGTAAATTAATCTTCAACAGTTCGAAATATTTAGCTTTAAAATTCCTCTGCCACCTAATCTCTTTTTAAAAAAGCAAGGCTCTCTGTAACTCTCTACCTAACCTAGTGGTTCTAAAACTTTTTGAGTTCATGGATTACCTAGATAATCTAATCACTATGATAGATCTGCACTGTCTTACAGGGTAGCCATTGACTATATGTGGCTATTTCAATTTAAAATAGTTAAAATTAAACAAAATTTAAAAATTTGTTCCAAAGTTACAGAATCAGCATTTCAGGTGCTTCACTAATAGCCACATTAGGCTAGTGGCTACCATATGAGACAACATAGAAACACAACATGTCTGTTACTGCAGATAGTTCTGAATAACACTGAATAGATCATCTCCCTTGAAAAAAATATGTATATAATTTAAGGAGGATTAGGAGAACCTAAATCAAACGCTTCCAGATTTAGCCCTCCCTTTAACTAAAAAGAATTTCCTTCTTCCATGAATTTATTTTTTTCAGATTATATTTGATCTAATTTGGTATTAAGGAAATATTTTTTTAAATTCACCAATTTACCTAATGTATCTGAGCTTAAAATTTTCCTGATCTTTCACCCCACTCTAAAATTTGAATGGCAATCTTTAAGACTACTTCCAGGAAAACATTTCTATGAGCTTTAAAGATACTTTGGAAGATACTTTGGCCTAGATTTCACAAAGATTTTAAAACCCTAGTTATGAAAAGCCTGCAATAAAAGATAAGGTGTCTCCTCCTTTCAGATTCCATGAGAGCCAGGTGGAAGCAATTTGAATTTCTAATTCTACTTAGATAAAACATATGGTAACTACTCCTTTAAAGTAATTGTCTTCATGCTAAATATATTTTCAAACCAATATTGGTTGAAATTGATGAAAAAGAAAAAGGTAACTATGTAATTCAGTATTTTTATTCCATCTATTCTCATACTTGAGAATATAAAAAAGTATATTTCAAAGAAACATTCCTTTTTAAGATTAAATAAACCTTAAAGATTTTACTAATTAGTTTTTGCTATAAAAATGTACAAAAAGCACACTGTAAAAGAAAATTGCAATAAGAGTCATATAATTTGATTGCAAGAAAATGTATGAATTAATGAAATAAGATATATAGATATGGATACTAGAGTATGTTGAAAGAGGTGAATTTTGCAGTGAGTGTTTTTTAAAAGAAACATGTTCAAATTGAGCAGCCAAAGATATATCCAGTAAGTTTTCCTATTGATTAAATTTAAGAAAACCTATAATTCCTTAGAAATAAAACAGACATTTGAGATCAGTATTTTTGAAAAATGCTTTCTGTGGGTAAATATAGCCTATACTTCTCAATATAGTTAAAAATGTTTTTAAATATAAAAGTTCATTTTATTGTAAAAAATTTGGGATATATAAATAATATATATAAATAGTAAAATAACAACCACCCTTAATCCCATTACTTAGAAACAATTAATATGTTGGTGTTTTTCTCTTCAGCTTTTTCTCTATGCACACATACACACATAGTTGTAAAATTATTTTTAAGTACGAGGAAATATGTATATATGAATAGTATAGTAGTATGGTGTCAATATTAACATGTGTAAGTACTAACGTTAACTTACCTCTTTCTTTAAGATTTCGAAACAGCTTTGATGATCCTTTCCAAACTGGTGGTGTTTCTGAGAGCATTTGATTTAATTCCTATGACATAAGGTATCAAAATACTGATTGATAGGTAAACCAGTGCTTATAAAATAGATAAAAAATATTTAAATGCCTATGCAAAAAAATTCTCCACTCAGAAGACCAGAGACATGGATATTTTTATCCTATTCTATACCTGTGGTTCATTCAACGACAAAACCCAATATTTGCTCACAGTCTGAACATAAAATAAATGATAAAGATGCTACATGAAATTCAATTAGAGCTACCAAAAATTTCAGATACATTTTATAATTGGAATAACATATATACGTATGATAATTAAATTAAGATAAAACAGTTTAGGTTCTGGAGTCAGTTAAAAACATTTCTTGAAAGCTACTGGAAAAAGTGGATTTCCTAATTAAGGTCGAGATGATTACCTGGCTTCATATACTGTCCTTTCTTTGTAACCCTCTTGGATTTAGGGGCCTTTGTGGTAGAAGTAAATGGACAAATGATTATATTGGGAAGGAATGAAAAGTATTTTAATAGTGACTCAAAGAATGATGACATTAGATGAAGTGGGAAGGACAGGGGTATGGAGTTATTGTGGACACTGTTTCAATTTTTTTTTTCTAATTTCAACTTACATATAAAAAAGTAAAGAACACAGACTTCAATTACTGATTATGAGGAGTCAGTTTCTTTTTTAATCAAAGTATCACTGCTAGGAGGAGGGAAAGATTTTGGAAAATTTTAAACATTTGAATCACTGCTCAGATACTATAACAATTTTGAATGTATTGTACATACTGTGTAAAAAGTGAAAATTATAATTTGATTAAATGTGAAGAAAATTATTAAAGGATTTGGTGAGATAAGTTGAAATAATCTGAAATTTAAAAATTAGTCTGCTAAGTAACACATTGAAAAAAACCCACTAGAAACCACTTCTTTGTATAAGTCTGCTTCTTGCTATCCAAGTGTGCTTCCCCAATACCAGGCATCATTACCTGGGGGCTTGTTAGCAATGCAGAATCTCAGTGCCCATCCCAGACCTACTGAACCAGAATCTGTATTTTTAACAAGATCTGCAGGTGATTTTTATGTACATTCCAGTTTGCGAAACACTTTGGACAAACCCTTCCTGATGCGGTTGTACCTAAAAACGTTCTGTGACATTTATCAACTATCGTTTTCATCACAAGGCAGAGTTGCCATGCAAATAAGGAATCCTTGGATGCCAAAAGCAGGAGAGGTATTTTCAGGGGATTTATGGACTCCCCGAAGCCCATCTGTGAATCCTGGCTTTCATTTCCTTCAGAGCATTATCTCTGCACTGCAGGTAACAGATGCCACCAGGCGATGGGTAGCAATGGCACAGAGGTAAACATTCAGGTATGAATAATGAGAAGCTGGAATATTTACTGTCTAAACAACAGTAAACTTATAAATATTTTTGTTAGAGCAAGAAATTAAAAAAACATTCTGAATGTATTTTATACACTTTAATTATACCATCTCTATTATAGAAATATTGGGCTGTCGGAAAAGTTATGACTTTTTTTTCTGTTTTTCATTGCAAAAATGCGTCATGGCTTTTCCGACAACCCAATATTAACAAACAGATGTTAATATTTTAACTGTTTCCATGTATTTGACTTAAACTCAGTTACATTTATGACCAAAGAGTCATAGCTACCTTTTATTAAGTGCCCTCTATGTGGCTGGCAATGGGCTAATACAATATCTCATTTCATTCTAATAGACTATCCTCATTATGTTTACTTACTGAGTCATGAAGATGATAAGTAACTCACCCAAGGTCACATGACTAGTGAATGGCCAGATTCCTACTGATTCTAAGCACTTTATTTTAGTAATAATTTAATTTCTTTTGGTCTAGATCATCCAGCTGACACACTGATCTTTTCTGTCTTCTGTTAACTTTAAGGACTTTTAAATTTTATTAAAATCTGTATTTCCCCTCAGGCTGGGAATCTCTCTCCACATCCAGTGCCTATCTTAGTCTCTTATATGCATATATATATATATATATATATATATATATATATATATATATATATATATTATATATACCGGCCAATCTAACTATGTTTGCCCATTTTTTTCTTATGGTGCTGATTAACTTTTCTAGATTGATTTACCAGAGTTCTATATGACTACAAGATACTTAAGCTTTTCTGTTAATATGTTGCAATTCTCCTGTCATACATCTTTTAACATTGTTGATACTGTCTTTTGGTGTGCTAAAGGTTTTGATATTTAACTTGGTAAACTTTGCCACTAACTTCCTTTGAGTTTTGCGTTGTGTCCTATCTAATAAATCCTTCCAGGCCACTCAATTTGCTTTTAATACCTCAGAATTTTTGTTTGTCAAAATAAGAACTTAATCCATCTGAAATTTGCTTTTGTGTATGGTGGTCAGTTTGAGATCTCATTTTATCTGCTCCCATGTTGGAAAGACTATTGTTCTAATACCTGAAGGCAAATCCTTTCTCCAATGATTTATAGATCTTCCCATACACGCCTGGATCTGTTTCTGGACTCTTGAGTCTGTTACTTTGGTCTAATTTAAAAATATTCTTATAAGGATATAATACTATTTTAATTATTATAATACTACAATATTATTTATCTTAATATGGAACAAGCCCAATTGTTCTCATCCCAATTTCTCCCCGCTCCTTCCTTTTTAGAGTTGTTCTGAAAATTCTGGGTCCTTACTCCTCTAAATGAATCATCTAAAAACATGATATATTTCTGTGTTTACTCATGTCTTTTAAAAAATATAATAACATCTTTTACCTTTGTTAGGTATCTAAGTATCTAATAATTTTTGTTATGTGTTTTAAGATTGTATGTTTACAATCTTAAGATTGTAAAATGTATCTTATTTGATAGTACATTTTCAAATTGCTACTGCTGGTACAGAAACATTTTATTAACTTTGGTTCACAGATGTTACATCCAGAAGCAACCTTGTTAAACTTTTACTAAATTTGAATAAAATGAAATCTATATATTTTTACATTTTTCTCTCAGTCATATTGTTTGCTGCTGTTCCAATCCTTTTTATTTTATTTTTTTCTGGTCATAGTACAAATTATAGGCTGAATTGTGTCTGCCTCAAATTCACACTTGAACTCATAACTCTTAGTGCCTCAGAATGCGACTGTATTTGGAGACAGGGCCTTTAAAGAGATAATTTAGATTATTAAATGAGGCTATTATGGTGGGCCCTAATCCAAATGACTGGTCTCATATTTAGAAGAGATTAAGACACAGACACACACAGAGGAAAGATGTGAAGACATCGGTGGGAGAAAATGGCCACCTACAAGCCAAGGAGAGAGGCCTCAGAAGAAACCAGACCTGACAACACCTTGATCTTGGATTTCCATCCTCCTGCACTGTGAAAAAATAAATTTCTGCTGTTTAAGCCACTCAGACTATTGTAGTTGTTATGGCAGCCCTAGCAAATTAATGCACTACATTAGCTTACACCTGTAGTAAAAGAGTGAGTAGTAGTTGTAATAGCAGACTATATGCATTATATCTAATTTTAAAGAGAATATCTCTAAAGTTTCACAAGTAAATAGGATGTTTGCTGTAGGCTTTTGGAGGATTCTTTTTAACTGGTTAAGGAAGTTCCCTAGATTGCTATGCTAATACTGCTTTCTCTTTTTATATTGAAGTTTATAATGTATATATAAAAGTACAAACAAGAATATATGTAAAATTTAAAGTTAGAAATTGTTAAGAAATAGAAAATAACCAGCACTTTAGAAGCCTCTTTGCATCTCTCATTGATAATATTCTCCTCCATATCCCCAGAGGTAAATACTATCTGGAGCTTTATATTTATTATTCCTTAGTTTTGCTGCCTATGAATGTATCCTTAACAATATGGTTTCATTTCCTCAGTTTTGGACTTTATATAAATGGAATTATACTTTATATTTTTTGTGTTGGTTACTTTGTCATTATGTTTCTAAGATTATCTAGTTAAAGCATTCCTATAATTCATTTCTTTTCACCATACAAATATATCATAACTTATTTGTCAATTCTACTATTGATATTGTACCATAGTCTTACATTGTATCCCATTCTTTTGGGCCATCATGAACAACCTATGGGCATTCCTGTGAACCTCTCCTGCATACAAGAAAGTTTCTCTGAGTATATACACTGGTGTGAAGTTACTGGATCATAGGATATATTCAAGTTTAACTTTACTAGGTATATTTGCATGCACTGTTGTACAATTTAAAGCCATGAGTAGAATTGCTAGGTATAGGGTATGTGTATCTTTAATTTTAGCAGGTATTGCCAAACTGTTTTCCAAAGTAGATTTACCAATTTACATTCACACATGAGAGTTACCATTGATCCACATCTTCAAATGGCACTTTGATGTGATTTAATTGGCAGAAAAATTACATATATCACATTATACAGAGTGAGAGAGAGAGAGAGAGAGAGAGAGAGAGAGAGAGAGAGAGAGAAGAGAGAGAGAGAGAAAGAGAGAGAGAGAGAGAGAAAGAGAATTTATACGTACACCAAGAGCTTTATTTTACCTGTTTGGAAAGTGACTTCCACGTTTTAGCAACTATAATAAACAAACATAAAAGAATCAGATAATATTTCATTTTATATCCAAATTCAGTAACTATGTATAACCATTATTCACAACACCAAGCTTCTATATCTAAAAGGCAAAGTTTGTTTAACCTTAACAAACTTTGATATGGATCTATGATATGATTTTGTGTCATGTATTTGTTTCATGTACTATAAACTATTTACAATAAATAATATAAGTGGACTAGGAAACACATTTTCTATAATCATTATCTTATTTTGGGGATTTCTGGATGTTAGTTAACTTACTCCATGTTAAATAGCATATAGGTTTAAAAACACAAATAATGATATTTATTAAATATTCATACTAGGATATACAATATTAACATAATTACGATTTTAAGGTGTTACCCATGATCTCTACTGTCTCAGTATCTCTGATTATAATTCAAATGTCAGGTCTCTCTAGGGTAAATGGGAAGGATGGGAGCAAAGGGAAAAAGGGATGAAGCAGAAAGCAAGTAATGTGAGATGGAGCGTCTCATCCTGTTTCCCATTCTTTTCCTCTAAGAATGTTATAGTTGAAAAAAATACCAGGGATCAGTTTCTTTTTCTGATTCCTCTTCACATCCCTGCAGATCTCAAAAACTATAATTCTTATAATATTAGAAAACTGTGAGCCATATTACTGCTGTTTCCTTTGCTCAGATTTGAACACTGTGAATAACTAATGACTGCCCAAGAATTTTCTCTGGGTTTATATGTAATTAAGTTCTATAAAACATCTGCATGAAGAACTGGTAAATATTAATTATTTCATCTACATTATAATAATGTCAACCAATAATATTTCTACATGGCAATGTGGTTATTTCTGTATAATTAACCACAGTTAATGTAAACAATAAATCAAATTGAAGATTATAAGATAGGCATTTTTTTGCTATATAACTTTTTAAAGCAATATGCCATTTTAAGATCAAAAGAAGTATGTTCTAAAATTTAGCAAACTGATTTTCATGCAGATAGATTTATTCACAAGGTAGCAACAACATCCTTTCTTTACCCAAAATAGTTTATACAAATGTGTAATCAAGTGATTAAAATCACAGGTCTATAAAGTGGAATTTAGCATTTAAACTTAATTATAATAACTGTATACATTCATTTTAAAAGACATCCTCCTTCATAATGAACAGAACAATGTAAATAATATTTATATTCTGTTGCTTTTGAAAAATAGCAGTAAGAAGAAAAATAAATGGTACAAAAGTACATGCACATGCTCTTATGCAATGTTCAGAGGCTATTTATCAAAAGAGGAAGTTAGACACACTCTTGAGTTTTGTAGGGTTTATGAGATTTCCAGGGTAAATTATTCACAAAAGACATATTCATTCTGCCGGATATGTCACCATGTTCAATATTATTAGCTTTTTTAAAATAAAGACTAAAGAGCCATTAAGATTGCTCTTCAAAGGATTTTCTGATTTTCTAAATTCCTTATTTCATATGAAGTTACTCCATATATAAATATAACTTGGGTGAAGAGGGACTTCAATTCTATTGGATATATTTTATTCCTTAAGCTATAGGTTGATGTTCATTATATTTTTAATATTTCTATGTACATCTGAAATTTTTCAATACATTTTTAAACTAAAATTAAAATAATATTTGAAGCTATATGAGAATAATCAATTACTTATTTTAGTTCTAGAAGGGAAATTCACCTTTTAGGTTCTATTTAAGTAGGTAAAATAAGAGATTTTTTTTTTATTTCAAACACAAAGTTATAGTCAACAATGAGACGTACATCTCAATTAACATTTATTTGAACTATAATTATTAAGCAAATTTTTACACAGCATATCATTTTCTTTCCTGTTGATGTCACCATAAAATTATATCAACCTTGGTTATGAGTTCAAGTGATAATGATGATAACAGCTAGCAACATTTATTAAGTGATTATTGTGTGTCAGGTACTACAATAAACATTCAATCCTCGACTGACATATTCAATCCTTAAAAAAACAACCTCATGAGGCTGTTCTTATTTTTATTTCTATAAATGTGGAAACAAAAGATTAAATAAATTAACCAAGTTCTCAAAGCTACTAAATGAATTCTGAGGTTTAGACACAAGTCTGTTTAATTTTAATATACTTATTCTACTTTTCTACCTGTGAGGCGTATTTTGTCATATACTTCATGAAAAACAGCATATTACAACAGATTGAATACAAAAGCAGATATGAGAATCCAACTGTCTTCTATTAAGTCAGACATTAAAGAGATTTGCGAGAATGTACATAATGCCAAAAAGTTTGAGAACCACTGCTCTAACGTATGGGAAGGTTACATTTAGCCTATATTTACACTGCACGAGCCATGAGAAATACAGAAGAGATAGAGGCAGAACCCTTACCCAGGTCTAACATCAAAGCCAGTCTTCTGAATTATTCTGCTCAGGGTGGATATAAGAATGGACTAGGCAGAATATGAGTCTATTATACAGATTATCAAAAGTAAGGTGGTGTTTATGTTTAATGTCCTGAGAAAGGGAGCAACAGAAAGTTTCTGAAAAGAGGAGAGATACTAGTAGGAGTTTACAAGAAATATTAATCTGGTAATGTTGTATAGCATAATGTCTTTCAAAATACCGCATTATTTGGTTAGTTCTGAAAATCTTAAACTGCTCCACACATTTACAAACAAGAGATAAGAAAAAAATCTTACAAAATTATTAAGATAATTTAAAAACTATACTTACATTTGGGCTCATCTGTTGTAACAGCCAAAATGAAATCATATGGAGACATGAATAACTGCCCTTCACATTCTATAGAAGCAAACAAACGAAATCGCCTTTCCCGAGATGTAGCATAGAGGTCCAAGTCTTCAACGTCTGTTCTGCCAACAGCAGCCTAAAGTTAAGAAAGCAAACAAATTTGAATCATGAGAAATAACATCTCCCTTAGAATATAAATACTTTTAATTATGTTAAAAATGAATTAACAAAGTAAATGAAAATTTGAAAATATTGTCTTCTGAAGAACTTAATCACTTTATAAATTATCCAGATGAATACAATGATCAAGATTTGAAAGATCCTACAATGAAAATATTAAGGGCCTGAAGATTTTAAACTGACACTTTGAAGGCCTTGTAATTTATTTCTTCAGTTTCAGCCTTGGAGAACATTACATTTCTGAGCGAGTAGTTTCTTTAAAAGGAACACTAAACACTTGCTAAATGCCTACTACGCATGTTCTATATAGGCTTATTTATTTAATTACAAGTCTATTCATTACAGTTTATTAATTTTCTGAAAGAAGAAAGTGAAATGCTGATTGATAGGCTGTTCATGGGTACCACTGAGGAAACTGTTTCATGGTAGTGTTGAGATTAGAACTCAAGTTGCTAACTCTAGATCAGGTAGTGTCATCCCACCAGTAGTTATTCTGAATTCTACCTAGGGTTAAGATGAACAGAATTAGAAGGAATGTGTATATGGGGAGAAGCAAGCCTCTTTTGTTTTCCTTAATTTCAAGACCTTTCCCTATAAATAATTTCTCACTGTTATTTTTCTCTCTGAACTAACTATAATAAATTTATTTTTTAATAAAATGATTTTTCCTGAATACAAAAGTGGCAGTTATCATATGTAATTTAAAAGACAAAATCTTAAAAATTTAGATATAATTTTTTTCAGTTTTTTGGAGGCAAAAAAATGCAGTTTATATAATACTGTCCAGAAATCTCATCTTTCTTACTTATTAATATAACAGGGCCATTTTCCCAAGTCACTAAATAATCCAGTAGACCATTTTTAATAACTGTAATATTTCATGGTAAATGTTTATAGCATAACATAATAAAAATTCCAAATGGTTGAATGTTTAGGTGATTCATAGTATTTTACCATTATAAAACAATGTTACAATGATCAACTTTGAAAATATTCAGGAAGAAGAAAACATGAATTTTAATATCAGGAAGAGGTATGAACATTCTAGGTTTACACAGCATATCTAAAAGATGAATAAGCTTCCTGAAGCAGAAGACTTGCATTCATGGAAAAGGGTAGAGATAAATTGGTAACAATTTCTGAATGCCAGACTAAAGCACTGGGATTTAATCTGACAGAACACAAATGGATTTAGGAGATTCTTAAGTGGTGCAATGAAACAAAGAAAATGGCACTTGAGAAAGATAAAGCAACCTGGTACCAGAGACAAGCTAGTTCAGCAGTATATTAATAACAATCCTCAGGTAATCCACAGGTATTAGGAAATTGTTTTGGCTCTGCCGTGGGTGAGAAGTGGACAATGAACAACTGAATGTCAATAACGGGCAATAAACTCCCTGAATACTCCTCAGGGATCAGTCTTCCGTTTTAAGTCCCCTTCGACACATATTTCCAGGGGTTTCTTCTTCTTCCCGGGGCAGGGAAACCAGTCTTGTCTGTGACCCCAGTTTACTTCCCTGCTTTCTTCTTGCGAGGCCATTTCTTTGGGCCTAGGTGGCCCCCAATCAACCATGACTCTTCTCCAGTAAATTTCCCGGAGGACCACTCGCCGCTGTTTTTGCATCACAATCTGAAGTCATGCCACAGTCTAACCTTCTGAACCACAATGTTTGCCTTTAATGTCTGTTTGCTATGACCTAATATGGACTTGATCTGTGAATTCTACTACCTGTGCTGCCATTACTGCTTATGAGGGGCCTGTGTTTTTCATCACTTCCCTTCCCTAGCAAGGTCTATCATTTGTCCCAGCATGCCAAAACAGCTAGACCACTGCAGCTGAGAATTTGATCCATCCTCTGTGAGCTAAAGCTCACAACTCCTCCTTGTCCTTAACTTATGCTAACAATCAGCTAACAAAGCCTGTTGTTCTCCCTCTAGTTTCTCACATCCACCCACTACCACTACATTTCTTTCAGCACTCACTACTTCCCTAAAAGTTTGCAGTAATGGCCCAACTGTGATTTTTGCCTCTAATCCATCCTATACTGAGAGAAAGAGAAAACAGGCAAAACTGTAGAACCATTTGTATTCTTTAACTATTTGAGAATGGGTATCAGAAGAAATCTCCCAAATAAAGGTTTTCATTAAAATTCCACTGTATGAATTCTACCCTTTGTTACCTTAGCAAAAATACACATCATTTTTGATAATAGCATTAGGTGGTGCCCACAGGTCTATTTAGCACCACCTTTAAATAAGGTCTGGGGAGGAATTTGGAAATGGTTTGTTCCCCTGGGGGAAAAATATATATAGCCTAAAAGGGGAGAATATGATTTATGTATACAAGAGATAACCAGAGCCTGGGTGCTTAAAAGGGCTTTCTGCTACTGCAGACTGAATTCGTCCATTGCCTCTGCTCAATTTAGTGTAATATATCACATTGGCACTTCTGAAATGAAACATGGACTGGTAAAAAGTGAAAACCAATCTTACCATGATATCCCATTAAACTGGCCTGATCCTAGAACAGTCTAATCATCATCAACTAGGAGAATATGGCTCATCTGGTTGGAGAATGGAATGGGATGGAGAGCACAACAGGAAATCAATACCTGGGTAGGTTTTTATAGTCTCTATTCTCTTCCACTGACTTATTTGTCTCTTGCTACTGAAATGTGTGTTTTAATTACTATAGCTCTTGGTTATGTTTTTGACATTGGGTAAAACAAGGCTCCATCTTGTTGTAAATCCTTTAAAAATATTCATGGTGATTGATATGCAATTTTCTCTTCAAAGTAAACTTTGAAATCAAAGTATCAAATTCTATTTTAAAAATCTTACTGGTATTTTCTTTGGGATGACATTGAATTTTGGCGTGATTTAGAAAGACTTGATCTTCCCCAACTGGGAACATGGATGTCTACTCAGATCTTCAACTATGTCTTTCAATAAAGTTTTGCAGTTTTCTTAATATAAATTTTAGATACTTTTGGTAGATTTGCATTTATAAATTTTATAGTTTCTATGTTACTGTGAATTGGGAATGAAACCTTTTATTCCTATTACATTTTTAATTGGTTATTTCTTGGATTCGGATGGGAAAGCTACCACTTTAGTATGTTTGCTTTGTATCCAACTAACCTTATTATATTCCTTCATTAATTTTAATAACTTTTTCTTGGACTTTCTAAGTAGATGATCACAAGTTCTTTCACAATGGTGACAATTGTATAGCTTATCCTTTTTAATATTTATATCTTGTTTTCATTGCCTTAATTACTAAAAGTCTAGATCTCTAAAAATGATGCAGAATAGTGTCAGTAATATTAAGCATTCTTGTCTTGATCTATGCTTTGACGAGAATGCTTCTAATAAATTGCCATTAAATGCAGTTTGTGATTGGTTTTGATAATTATCTTCTATCTTAAATCAGGACTGGGCTGTTTACCTGGTCTTCTTTGTTCACTGAGAATAAATGAGTTTAGAGCTAGAATTGCCCTTAGAAATAACTTAGTCCTTTTGTTTACCTTTTTACCACAACAGAAAAAAATATGAGTCCCCAAACAAAAATTAAAATGTGTTGGGCAAGTAGAAGCATAAATAAAAATCCCCTCCAAAAAACTCAAAGGGTATTGGACAAAACTCTATTATTTACATATCTTTATTAAACTATTTTTAGTTTCTAAGATGAATATTTACCATCAACTAATGAACTAATGTGAATTTATTCTTTCATTCAACAGGTAGTTGATGTGTGCCTACTATATACAAATGAATCAATTAATAAAATAATCAGTCAATTGGAAGATGACTTACTTTATCAAAAACTGTTTCAGGGAAAAATACGAATAAGCAAGCTTTGTTTAATCATGCCTCACTATTTTCAAACCTTACCATAGTCCACATGCTTCTTTTTCTACAGTTTATGAACAGACTGTTTCCTTAATTAATAATTTTTTATGTATTTTTAACTGTGGGACAGTTCTAACCAAGTTAAACTTTACGGAGTTTGGGAGGCTGACTTGGAGCAGCAGTCCATAAAGCTCAGCTGGGGATTCCGGACCTGACCTCCCAGGATCTCTAGGGGGAAGGGGCAACATCAGGACAGTAGACGACCAAATGTTAGAAGGAACTCAGACCTTGAAAAGATTCAGCTTTCCTTCTGAATTTTTCAAAGTTTGAAAAATCTAAATCTTCTGAAGTTTTAACATCACTATTATGAATATTCAGAAACAAGAATCAATAAAGGTGGAAAATGATATTCAGACCAGTTTATTTCTTAATCCTCTTGGCAGTCTTGCTTACCTATACGTGACAATGATCTTGTATCATGTTAATGTTCTGGGACTTTAAAAAAAAACACAGAAGTAAATATGCTGTGAACAGCCATTTCTCTGGAGCACACTGGCATGAATCTGTAGGTATCATCCCTGTATTACAAGGAGCAGGTTAAGTACACCTATATTCACTGGCTGATCTACTTTATTTAATACCTTTCTTTTTGCTCATCTTAATCCAATAGAACTTTTAAGTGAATTTCTAAAGCCTAGAATTAACCTAGACATCTTTTAATAGTATATACTGTCTCAGTAAATGATTTTTTGCATTACAAATTGCCGTGATAAAAATTCATCAGTAAGTATAATGTATCTAAGGCTAATCGGAATGCTAACCTGAAAACCAAAAAGCCTGAATTATATCTATGTAGTTGTTAAAACATTAACAGATAAAATGAAAATCTTTATTATCAATCCAACATAATGTACTTAAAAAATAAGCCTTTCAAAAGTGGTAAAGTATAACAGACCATTTCTAAACCGCAGGAAGGAGACTGACAGTAGTTACAGAAGTCATGTTCATTTAAGAAAAATTCTTAATAGCTTAGGTTGATAGTCAAATGAAAAAAACACACTTATTTGGGAAGTTGAGGAAGTGACAGCCTTTAAATTGTTAAGA